ACAGGCAGAGTTAGACAGTGAGAGAAAGAGACAGAGAGAAAGGTCTTCCTTCCGTTAGTTCACTCCCCAAATGGCCGCTACTGCTGGCGTGCTGCGCCGATCTGAAGCCAGGAGCCAGGTGCTTCCTCCTGGTCTCCCATGCGGGTGCAGGGCCCAAGCACTTGGGCCGTCCTCCACTGCCTTCCTGGGCCACAACAGAGAGCTGGACTGGAAGAGGAGCAACTGGGATAGAACCGGTGCCCCAACTGGGACTAGAACCCGGGTGCTGACACTGCAGGCGGAGGATTAGCCTAGTGAGCTGTGGCGCTGGCCCCCTGATACTTTTTTAAAAACAGTACACAGGGGTTGGCGCTGTGGTGTAGTAGGTTAAGCATCCAACCCTGGTGCCAGCATCCCATATAGGCACTGGTTCGAGTTCTGGCTACTCTGCTTCCATTCCAGCTCCCTGCTGATGGCCTGGGAAAGCAGTAGAAGATGGCCCAAGTGCTTGGGCCGCTGCATCTGCATGGGAGACCTGGAAGAAACTCCTGGCTTCAGATTGGTCCAGCTCCGGCTGTTGTGGCCATTTGGGGAGTGAACCACAGATGGAAGAACTCTCTGCCTCTCCCTCTCTCTGTAACTCTGCCTCTCAAGTAAATAAATAAATCTTAAAAAAAAAAAAAACCAGTATACAGTGCCATGCAAAATTATCTAATTTGCATAGGGAAAATGATAATTCTGGGTATCTTATTAAGTGAAATATATTTTGAGCCCTTACCCGCTAAGTGCTAAGGATGTAGTGAGGAACAAGCATAGAATTGTTGTTTTCACGTAGTTTATGAGCTGATGATTGGAGACATGATTGTGAGCCAAGCAATCACACAAATCGAGGCATGGCTATTTGCTTATGTGAGTGAAAAAAGAACGAAGTGCGTAGAGGTCAGGGTAGGGAAGCCAGTGAAGGCTCTCCTGAGGAATTGATCTTACGGTTGAGATTTGCTGGGCCGGTCAATGCCAGCAGGATGAAAAGACGGGAGGCGAGCATGGCCAGCAAGGGAAGTGGAATGTGCAAAGGCCCGGTCGCTGGGGAGTGCATGGACCTGAAAGAGCCGGCGTGGCTGAGCCGTAGATGGTGAGCAGCAAAAGAGCACAAGCGGGAGAGCTTTACATTTCCCTGTTGCCTTGTGACCACGTGCCATTTCATCATGAGCAGCCATTGAAAATTTGAGATACGTGCAGGTGCCATTGCTTTTTTATCTGTTGTAGATGTGCGTGCAGCTAGGAAATCAGGTTTGTTTGGATTTGAAATCAGAGGCACACGATAACTTTTTTTTAAAGATTTATTTTATTTATTTGAAAGAGTTACAGGGAGAGGGAGAGACAGAGAGAAACAATGAGATCTTCCATCAGCTGGTTCACTCCCCAGATGAGTGCAACAGCTGGAGCTGAGCCAAAGCTAGGAGCCTGGAACTCAGTCTGGGTCTCTCGTGTGGGTGCAGGTTGGGCCATCTGCTGCTGCTTTGCCAGGCACATTTACAGGGAGCTGGATTAGAAGTGGAGCAGCCGGGACTCAACCCAGTGCTCATATGGGATGCTGGTGTCACAGGCAGCAGCTTTACCCACTGTGCCACAACGCCGCTCCCCCAATATATCATTTATTAGCTAGACTTACAGGGCACTTTTACTCCAGTGCCTGTAATATTTTCCTCGGAACAATATTATAGGTGTGTGGTGTGTAGTTGAGTATTAAGGCAGTCAAAGCAGCAGACCCTGCTGCTATTGTGGTCATTCATGCTTGCATGGGTTCCAGCGCAATGTGAAGAAGCTGCAATAGCTAAACATCTACTTCTGTGAAACCCATCCTAGTTACTTAAAATTTCCCCTAAAAGGGGACATACCAATTGCTAAGAAGATTTTTTGATGTTTGCTTTAGGTTACGGGAGGTTCCAGTGGCATTGGGAAGTGCATTGCTATCGAGTGCTATAAACAAGGCGCATTTATAACTCTCGTTGCCCGGAATGAGGTAAGTCTTTTGGTTCCTTCGTACTAACTTATTTATGCAACCCTTCTTAGTCAAAGCAGCTGAGCTAATCGTCTTAGTATTCACACCTGCACTAGACTGGAACGCGTTTACTGCCTGATAGGAGGTGTGAGTCCTGAACGATGGGTTCTTTATCATATTGAAGCCAGCACTTCCCAGCCAGACCAGCTCCACAAATATTTATGTGGTGCCATTGACATATTAGGCAACATCATCATAGTCACGGCAGTGAAGACACGCCTGGCTAGCCAGGGTCCCCGCCAACCTGGAGCTGACGGCTGAAGGTTTACAGGTGTTTACAGATTGTTTGTAATTTGCTTGTGATGTGACAGGTTCACCACAAGGCAATCTCCTTCCTCCCCAGAGGTTTAGCAGGCTGTGCTTTCCTGTGTCAAGTCAAGGCGGGGTCTGTTTTTCTTTTCTTCAGGGTCTGTGACTGTAGCCAAAATTGTTTCCAGGGCGCACACACCTGTGGGATCCCCTGCCATTGCTCTCTGCCTGTATGGCGCTTGCCACATAGCAAGTGCTTGGAACAGATGTGCTGAGTAAAGAAATGAAGGGAGGAGCGATGGGGAGAGGGGGGATGCCAGTGTGGCATCCTCAACCTTGCTTGGGGATTAACTGCTCAGGTGGGATTGGACAGCTGACCAGAGCCCAGTGGCCATAGCAAGGCAGGGCTGGCCTCTGGGGGAAGATGGCTAAACGACAAAAGTAGGCTTGGATGGTCATAGTTTCTTACCATGAAAGGCAGAATTAGCTAGCTACCTGTCTTCGCGAACAGTGAACAAGCTTTGGTGCTGAAGCTGCCTCGCATGAGTGAACACATGAGTGTAATGAAGTGGTATTCTGGGATTTTTACACAGAGCCAGTAATGACACAGAATGAATGAAGAAGGGTGGTGGGAGGCCCAGCAGGGCAAGTGCCCGGTCGCTCCTAGAGGGGGCCTTAGTGGCCAGAGGTGAAAGAGCCTTTGGGCATCAAGACATTATTTTCTGGTAGAATTTTCCATTCCAGTCTTACTAAGATATTGTTAGGTGAAAATTACCAACAATAATATTGCTCAATATAGTTCTGCTAATGAAGATACACACAGGTCAAGTAATTAATAGAATAGCAGTATGGTGTTAGAGACCCTGCCAGGCTGAGAGGCTGTACATGCCCTTCGGAAGAATTCTCCTCCCCTTTTGTTGTGTTCTAGCTCTCATGATGTATTTAAGGTACTCGTATAGTACATGAAGATACTCTAAACCAATACCTTTTTCTTGAAAAAAGTAAAGCAACTAGCATCGAGACCTTATAAGAGCTTTCCAATTACATATCTTAAGAGTATTTTGGAAGTGGCCAGAGATTTATCCAGTCCCTCTCAAAAGTGATTTTACCATAATTGCTTTCATGGTAGGGGAGGAAGATATGGGATGATATAGAAGCCCTCTTGACATGGAGTCATATGTACCTTCCATTTTGGGGGTCGTTGTATAGCAATATAGTCACTTTTATATCACAGCTGAACACGCTCAGATCAAAACATTTATTAAAATTGAAAGGGTGATTAGTTAATATTGGGTTTTTGAGTTTCACTTATTTTTCCTGTTGTGTTCCCCTGTGATTAGTTTAAAAACTTGCTGTCACTTGTTTGTAGCCCAACATACTTTACAGTTTCTTTCTTTCTTGGACCGTGGCCCAGTTTACCTATACAGTATAGGTACTGTTTGTGTGTTTCTTAGATTTTAGCACTCACACAAGAAATTTTTCCCCTCTCTTTCAACAAATAAGCAGATGGATATACAGACAACCACCAAAACTCATTCTTCTGTATTGCTTTCAGGACAAGTTGCTGCAGGCAAAGAAAGAAATTGAAAAGCATTCTATAAATGACAAACAGGTAAGTCACTGTCTATACAAATCTACACAGTCCTATAAGGGGGAAAAGGACTACTTTAACTGTTCATTAACAGCATATACTGTTTTTCCAGTTAAAGTACATCTTAGACTGTTTTAGAGAAGGTATAGTTCTTGTCCCACCCCCTTCTTTAGCTTACCTGGGCAGGTAGCTACACCCCTGCCCTCTACACAACAGCTCTGCCAGCCTCCACGCGTGGGCGAGGACAGATCTTCTAAGGAGATTCACGCTGAACAATCCTACTCACATTGTGGGAAACAGCCAAACATCCCTTATCTTTTCATTTCAAGTCCTAAATTTGGTTGACATTTGGATTAATGGGCACACTGGGGAGTGAAGTATTCTGACTCATAAGATTTTCTGATAAAGTTCATGTAGACCAGAAAACACTTAAAAAAAAAAAAAAAGAAAGAAAGAAAAGGTTCAATTGTTTGAATTGTCCAGGCACTCAGGTTATTGGCAGAAAATACACAGATTTGCACACAAAAATCTGCCAGTGGTCCAATAACAGAATGTTTCACTAGAAAATGATTTAATTCCAATCTTCTATTTAAATGAACTTTATTCAAATGCTGGAGAGGAAAGGTATTGTACAAAAGGTCCTTTCGGTTGTAAAATTTTTTAATGAATGAAATTATATATACAATGTATATTTCCATGTAAAATACAACAACAAATTAACCACACCCTCATCACCCAATAAGAAATAGGGTTTACCAGGGTGTCTGAGGCTCCTGAGTGCCCCATCAGCCCCTTCCCTCCTGTCTCCTTCCCGGAGGTCACCTCCCACCTGGTTTCTGTGTTGATCCTTTGCTTATCTTGATAATCTTCCCTTATCTGTTAAAATGCATGTGACCCTACTTACTATGTTGTTTATGGCAGCCATCTTATTTTGTTAACAGCTTTGTGAAGATATAACCTATACACCAAATATACAGTTGACCTATTTAAGGCGTACAAGCCAGTGATTGGCTGGTCACAGAGTTATGCAACCATCCCCACAACCAGGTTCAGAACATCCTTGTCACACTCCTGGACCCATTATCAGGCACAACCCGTTCCCACCCATCCCCCTGCGAGCCCTGAGCAACCACTTACCTACCTCGTATTGTCCTTGGAGATTTGTAAGTCATTGTTCTTTATGAATTCCTGCTCAACTTGATTGCTTCACTCCATACTAGTTTTGGAATTTATCTATTTTGCTGCATAAGGTGGCAGTTCTTTTTGTTCTTGTTTAGTGCTGTTCTGTGTATAAATACATTTGTTTTGTCTCAGTTCTACTGTGGGTAATATTGAGGTGTTACCAGTATTTCTGTTTTGCTGTTATGAAAGTTTTATGAGCTCTGTGTGTGCAGCTGGGCAGGAGGAGTGTTCTGTACCTGCTCATGGGACTCCTGAGCTGTGGTATGTGTCTGTCTTCAGCCCCCCCCCCCCCCCACCAGGAGTGAAGGTGGCTCCTGTCACACGCCACGTCCTTGTCAACACTTGGTATTGGCAGATTTAATTTTTCCCTTTCTGATGGGCTCTAAATAAACTTCTTGTGGTTTTAGTTGCCTTTGTCCCCCCTCCAGAGTCTGTTAGAGATCTTTTCATGTCAATAAAAATAACAGTAATCTACCTCATTTTTTAAAGTGATTGCAGCATAGTATTGGGTGCACCTGTGTTTATTTAATCAATTTCATGTTGTCAGGCTGAGTTTGTTTTGCTTTTGCAATCTCTGTTCCTGGTCCACACCTCCTTGTACACATGCTGAGTTCTTCTCTAGGACTCTGGCCTCTGCCTGTACCCTCTCTCTGAAGCTCACAAGTGGCAGAGCACCCCTCTGCAAGTTGCCCTGCTTCTCTGGATTCACGCAGCCAGTGATAGAGAGGAAGGATGTGGTGAAATGCGTGCCACTGGAGCCCTGATGGCTGGAGGCCTGTCTTGCCTGTTGCTCCTCTTCATACTTCTGGGCCCTTCTTCATCTGTCAGGGGCTTTGGGGTGCGTGGAAAACTCTTCCTTTCCCATTAAGGGAGGGGAGATAATCTAGGGTGGGGATCTGTTGAGAGGGGCTGATGCCTGGGAGCATTTTTGTCCTGGTAATTTGCTAACATTTTTGTTTCCAAATTCACTTATCTGTAGTATAGACTTTATTTACAGTACATTAGGTAACCTTACGTACAAAGTGTGGAAAAGCATTTTTAAAAGCTGATTCCTCAGGGGCTGGCACTATGGTGTATTGGGCTAAGCCACTAGAAGTGGGTGCCACTTCTAGTCCCAGCTGCTCCACTTCCATTCTGGCTCTTTATGTCCTGGGAAAACAGTAGAGATAGCCCAAGGGCTTGGGCCCCTGCACCAAAGTGGGAGACCCAGAAGAATCTCCTGGCTCCTGGCTTTGGATCAGCTCAGCTCCAGCTGTTGGGACAATTAGAGAGTGCCCAAGGGGATGGGAGACCTTCCTCTCTCTCTCCCTCTCTCTCTGTAACTCTACCTCTGAAATAAATAAATAAAATCTTAAAAAAACAAACAAACAAAAAACCTGATTCCTCAGCTCTCTGGTAATGGCCTGGGAAAAGCAGCGGAGGATGGCCAGTGTGTGTGGGCTGCTGCACCCATGTGGGAACCCTGGAAGAAGCTACTGGCTCTGGCTTCTCTGTTGCTGAGCCCTGGCTTTTGTGACCTTATGGGATGCAAATCAGCAGGTGGAAAACCCCTCTCTCTGTAATTCTGTCTTTCAAATAATTAAATCTTTTTTTTATAAAAAAAAAAGTTTCCTATTTTTTTCACTTTTTTTTTTTTAAAAAAGATTTAGTTATTTATTTGAAAGGCAGAGTTACAGAGAGGCAGAGAGAGAGAGAGAGGTCTTCAATTCACTGGTTCACTCTCCAAATGGCTGCAACAGCCGGAGCTGGGCTGATCTGAAGCCAGGAGCCAGGAGCTTCTTCCAGGTCTCTCATGCAGGTGCAGGGGCCCAAGGACTTGGGCCATCTTCTACTGCTTTCCCAGGTCAAAGCAGAGAACTAGATCAGAAGTGGAGCAGCTGGGACTCGAACCAACGCCCATATGGGATGCTGGCACTACAGGTGGTGGCTTTACCCACTATGCCACAGCGCCTGCCTGCCTTCCTTCCTTCCTTCCTTTTAAAAAACATTTATTTATTTACTGGAAATCCAGAGTTACACAGAAAGAGAGAGAGAGTGATCTTCCATCCGCTGGTTAACTCCCTAAATGGTCGCAATGGCTGGAGCTGGACCAGGCTGAAGCCAAAAGCCAGGAGTTTCTTCCTGGCCTCTCAAGTTTGTGCAGGGCCCAGGCACCTGGGTTGTCCTCTGCTGCTTTCCCAGAAACATTAGCAGGGAGGTGGATCAGAAGTGGGGCCAGCGCTGTGGCATAGCTGATAAAGCCGCAGCCTGCAGCGCCGGCGTCCTGTATGGGCGCCAGTTTGAGTCCTGGGCTCTACTTCCGATTCAGCTCTCTGCTATGGCCTGGGAAGGCAGTAGACAATGGCTCAAGACCTTGGGTCCCTGCATCCATGTGGGAGACCCAGAAGAGGCTCCTGGGCTTTGGACTGGTGCTTGTGGCCAATTGAGAAGTGAACCAGTAGATGGAAGACCTCTCTCTCTCCCTCTTTCTCTCTCTCTCTCTCCCTCTCCTTCTCTCTCTGTGTAACTCTGACTTTCAAATAAATAAATCTTAAAAAAAAAAAAAAAAAAAAGAAGTGGAGCAGTAGGAACTTGAATCAGTGCCCATATGGGATGCTGGCGCTGCAGGAGGCAGATTTACCCACTACACCACAATGCCAGCCCCAGAAAGTAGTTTTTAAAGAAGAAAATAGGGCCCTAGCATTGTGTCTTTAAAAAATAAAAAAATTGCTTTCTGTGTGAGAATGTGGAGGAAAAAAAATCCTCTTTGGATGTCGCACAGGAAGGATCCTGGTTCTTAGAATTTAGGTTTCCTTCTTGCACAAAATAAAACTGATGTCAAATCTGAAGGTGGAGGGTGGCTTTTCTTTCTTTTTTTTTTTTTTTTAAGATTAATTTATTTATTTGAAAGGCAGAGTTACAGAGAGGTAGACGCAGAGAGAGAGACAGAGAGAGAGAGAAAGATCTTCCATCCTCTAGTTCACTTCCCAAATTGCCCACAATGGCCGGAGCTGAGCTCATTCAAAGCCAGGAGCTTCTTCTTGGTCTCCCACATGGGCGTAGGGGCCCAAGGACTTGGGCGATCCTCTGCTTTCCCAGGCCATACCAGAGAGTTGGATTGGAAGAACAGCAGCTGAGACTTAAACCTGTGCCCATCTGGGGTGCCGGCACTGCAGGCTGCCGCTTTACCTGCTACACCACAGCGCTGGCCCCTGGAGGGTGGCTTTTTATTCCGTCCTTTGGCCTGGCTGCCTATAGCTGGAGAACATCATCGTCGTCACTGGCTTCCGAGGCCCTGAATTTCAGGGGAGGCCCCTGTGCCCTTCTAGGTGGGCTCAGCAGGAAGAGGAAGCAGCAGGACTGTATCCTGTGCGTCCTCCCTAGCTCCCCTTCTCGCAGGCTCACTGCTGCACGTAGACTGCTGTGTCAGTGGGCATTGCCACTACTAACAGCAACATTGGCAGATCCCTCTTTTTTAATTTTTAGGATTTATTTATTTATTTGAAAGGCAGAGTTACAGAGAGAAGGAGAGATAGAGATCTTCATCCACTTGTTTTCTACCCTACCCAAAAGGCTGCAATGGCTAGAGCTGGGCCGATCTGAAGCCAGGATCCAGGAGCTTCTTCCAGGTGTCCCACATGGGAACAGGGGCCATCTTCTGCTGCTTTCCTAGGCACATTAGCAGGGAGCTGGATCGGAAGTGGAGCAGCTGGAACTCAAACTGGCACTCACAGGGGATGCTGGTGTTACAGGTGGTGACTTAACCCCCTGTGCCCCAGAGCTGGCCCTGACATTAGCAAATTTCAAACTCCGTAATCTATACATTGAAGGTTGACTTTCTTCTCTGTTAAAAAGAACTGCTTTTAATTAAAAACATCCCAAAACAGAGTTTTGACACCTGCATATTTTCTATCATTTATTCCCACAGGTTGTCCTTTGTATATCAGTTGATGTATCTCAAGATTATAACCAAGTAGAGAATGTCATAAAACAAGTAAGAGACTGAGCTGATTGAAATGAATGTGCTGGACTTTTGTTGGTTCTTGTCATTGGGTTCTGTGGGTTGGACTTGGTAAATCTTCCCTTTGGGGTAAATAGTTGTGTAGATTTTATGTATTAATATTGAATTTGCTGTTGAGTGAGTTTTCTTTCCTCCTCTCTTTGTAAATACCTGCTCTGATAAACTTTTCTAGGCACAGGAGAAGCTGGGACCAGTGGACATGCTGGTCAACTGTGCAGGAATGTCCGTGGCAGGGAAGTTTGAAGATCTCGAAGTTAGCACTTTTGAAGTAAGTATGGTTGTTTGCTCGCTGGGGTAGCTCATTTACTGAAGGTAGCACAAAGCCACAGGAAGGCTTTAAGCACGGAGTGGGTGAATGCATTCAGAAATTCACAGAAACTTGGGAAGGTGAAGGAAGAGTGAACAGGGTTTTGGGTCCAGTGTCACAGCCATCCAACCGTAGGAATGTCAGTTGTCTCAGATGTGAGTGAAACATCTACTGTGACACAGATTACTGCAGCCACTCGCTGAGACCTTGTCTCAATAGAGCACTCGTAAAGCAAGAGGCGTTGTGTGTTCACGTCAAGCATCCGTGATGCGGACAGTGGGAAACCCAGAGCTGAAAAAAAGACTTGCCACAGCACTCAAGTCACAATAAAAAGATAACGCATCCTCGCCGTGTTGATATTTTTAAACAAGCACATCGAGGAACCTCTCTTAGTGATTTATTTCAGCACCAAAGAAATGGACATTCAATTTGATGTCTTTAAGTACAAAACGGTTTATTTGGCAGAGCATAAACCATCTTTTTCCGCGTGTTCCGTTGAGCCTTCACTGCGGTCATAGATTTTAAACGCTTGAGCCTGCAAAGTGAAGGTGCTTTCTTCCGTAGAAATGCAGACTGCGCAGCCGGTGTTGCCGCTTCTAGTAGGCTGCGGGAAAACGCGGGGGGTTACCTAAAACAAGCAGGAGAGTCAGGATGCTGGTACAGGCAGAGAGGTGGGACTTGAGTCTCAGCAGGGGTTTCACCCCAAGGGAGAACTAAGCTTCCGAAAGGACAGGAGGACTGCTAACCCAGACCCGCTGATGAGAGAGGCTGTGATCCTGGACCTGATGGGGGTGGGCCTCTTGGGCCCTCTACTTGTGCTCCCCTCCAAGGGAGGGGAGGACACCGTACTCTGGTTGTGTCACCTTCTAAAGCCATTGTTTGCTCTCTCCCTTTGAAATCCCAATGACTTGCCTTGTGCTGTGGAGTCCATTGTGGCCTTACTCTTTGTATTCATAGTGAATTCTTGGTTATGTGTGTATTTGTTCTTAGTTTTACTTTTATTGATGTTCTTGGGGAGTCACACATGTCACAGCTCCTTGCTTGGGGAATAGGGCACATCAGCACTGTGAGAAACCTGGCCGGTCTTTCTCTGCACGCCGCCCCATGTGTCTCCTCCCTTTGCTGACGTTGTTGGCATCCTTTGTGGGTCCATAGACTGTAGTCGTAAGCCTGGCTGCGTGCTGAGAGCTCTTCAGTGGTCCCCAAGCCCGGGGGTGGTTCATGGGGAACCTAGCACGCTTACCTTTGTTTTCCTTTTTCATGGTTTCTTGGTGCTGGGTCTTTCCTAAGAGTTATTTAAGTTTTCTTTTGTCCTTTTGCACATGTGTTTATTTTGTCTAAAGGGCAGGGTCTCTCTGTTTCATGGTAGAGGCTTTGCTGTGCTTTCATGTTTAAAAAAGGGGTACAAAGGAGCTGATTGGAGAGCTCATTGCAAGTTCTGTGCTGGGGTAGAGTTGTTTGATTATGGGCCCCTCTCTAGTGATTGGGCTGTATACTGTGAGGGAATTTCAGTGCCCGAACCTTAGGTCTTTCCTCGTGGGTTGGGTCAAAGCCTTGGGGAAGTCTTCAGGCCTCCAGCTTCATATGTCCCTGTCTGCAGGTGTATCAGTACCTGGACAGACTCTCAATTAAACCCTCATTGACCTCCAGTGCCTACCACACTAGAAGAGGGGCCCATATTGGCTCTTTGGAGAGAGAAAGATGTCTAGGACCTGACAGTTTTTGTTTTGTCATTTTCCTCCATCTCTATCTCTACATATCTGCATATATTTTGAATTTTTATTTATGTATCTGCTAGGAAGAGAGAATGCCCATCCACTGATGCTTGCAGTGGTCAGGGCTGGGAGGGGCCAAAGTCTGGAGCCTGGAATTCAATCTGGGTCTCCCACGAGACTGGAAGGAACCCAGCTACTTGGGCTATCACCTGTTGCCTCCCAGCATCCATATTAGCAGGAATTTAGAGTCAGGAGCCAGAGCCACATCACACTCCAACGTGGAACGCAGGATGTGCAACGTCAACCAGCATCTTGACCACTAGACCAAACATTTGCCCTAAATATATATGATATATTTTTAAGGATTTATGTATTTATTTGAAAGAGTGACAGACACAGGCAGAGACAGAGACAGAGAGAGAGAGAGAGAGAGAGTGTTTTCATCTGTCGTTTCACTTCCCAAATAGCTGCAACAGCCAGGTCTGGGCCAGGCAGAGGCTGGGAGCCAGGAGCTCTCCTGATTTCCCACGAGGTCTTCTGCTGCTTTCCTAGGCACAGTAGTAGAGGCTGGATTGGAACCTGAGCAGCCAGGACTTGAAGTGGTGCTCTCATGTGATGCCAGCATTACAAGTGCAGCTTAACCTGCAGTGCTGGCCTCCCCCAGGTGTATGTATTTTTAAGGTGAGACATCATCTAACCTAAAATTAGCTGTCTTCAGGGATGCAATCCGGAGGCATTCGGCATATTCACAGTATTGTGCAACTCTCATCTCTGTCCAATTCCAAAATGTTTTCGTCACCCCGGGGGGAACTCTGGACTCATTACCCAGTTACCCTTCATTCCCTCCTCCCCCCAACCCTGGTCACTGGCAACCACCAATCTGTATTCTGTCTTCCTGGATGTTTTGTATAAATGGCATCCTGTGCTACCTGGCCCTTTGTGTCTGCCTTGTCTCGCTGAGCATGTCTCTGAGGTCCGTCCACACGGTAGCCAGCCTGGGTCACACCTTATTCCGTTTTGCATTCTGGTAATACTCCATGGCATGCAAATAACACATTTTGTTTATTTATTCATCTTTGGTGAAATTTGAGCTCTTCTACCTGACCTTTTTTTTTTTTTAAGAGATTTATTTATTTATTTGGAAGGTGGAGGTACAGAGAGGGAGAGACAGGCAGAGAGAGAAAGAGACGTCTTCCCAGCACTTGAGCCATCTTCCACCCCTTTCCCAGGCATATTAGCAGGGAGCCGGATCTGCAGTGGAGAAGCCAGGACTCAAACTGGTGCCCCTACCTGACTGCCTTCACACAACCTCTTAGTCAGTACTTCTGCCTTTCAGCCCAGTGCCCACCCACCCCCACCCCTGCCCCAGGGATCCTTGGTACATCAAAAGCCTTTTGGAAGTGTGTGATATATTCCTACCCTTTAGTTTCTCCATTCCTTGCTTAGCTTTCAGTTTTCTGGGGTCATATTTTTTTTTTCTCTTTTTAAAGATGTATTTATTTATTTGAAAGGCAGAGTTACAAAGAGGCAGAGAGAGAGAGAGAGAGAGGTGTTCCATCCACTGGTTCACTCTCCAGATGGCTGCAGTGGCCAGCGCAACACTGATCCAAAGCCAGGAACCAGGAGCTTCTTCTGGGTCTTTCACATGGGTGCAGGGACCCAAGACTTGGGCCATCTTCTACTGCTTTCCCAGGCCATAGCAGAGAATGGATCAGAAGTGGAGCAGCCAGGACTTGAACCGGCACCCAAATGGGATGCCAGCACTGCAGCACCCGCCCTGGGGTCTTCTAAGTTAGTTACCACTCATTTTTCTATTCTTCAACTTCCCAAATATTACCATTGTCATTCTTGTCCACATTTTCTTTGTTCTGATGGGATCTTGCCTTTAAAAAGCAATCTCTTGGAGCCAGCTTTGTGGTGCAGTAGGTTAAGCTGCTATGATGCCAGCATCCCAAATGAGTACCAGTTCGAATCCTGGCTGCTCCACTTCTGTCCAGCTCCCTGCTAATGCACCTAGAAAAGCAGTTCAAGAGGGCTCAAGTCCCTGCACCCACCTGGGAGACGTAGACAAAGCTCCTGCCTCCTGGCTTGGCCTGACCTAGCCCCGGCTGGTAGGACCATTTAGGGAATGGACCAGATCTCTGGAGGATCTCTTTGTCTCTTCCTCTCTCTCACTGTAACTCTGCCTTTAAAAACAAACAAACAAATAAATCTTAAAAACCAAAATAAAAATAATAATGTCTTTACTGAGATTTTTAGAGAATGTTGAAAAGGGAAGAACTGAGGTGAATACCCAAGTTTGGTGTTCCATCTTTTTTCAGGGACTTTTAAGGAATATTTTTTATTATTAAAACATTTAGGGGAGAGTGGGAATCCCAACAGCCTAAAACAACCACTTAAGATTTTCCTTGGTTCTGTACCTGTGCATGTATGCTCTTACTTAATATTTAGAGTAGTTCCACACACAGCCTGTCTGTCTTCTGCTTTTTAAAGACTTGCAACAGAAATATATCCCCCCCCCAACCCCGCCGTCACTCCTGATGTTTCTGGTCATCATTTTTGAAAGGTCCCTAGGAGTCTATTATTACATATCATCATCATTGCCTTAAAGTTCCCCCAACTGAAGGGGTCAGCCCAAGCTATTTACTATGGAAACATTTTAAGGCAGATATTTTCAGATTTTCCAGTGTACGTGTGAGGCTTTGAAGAGTTCGCAGGATGAGGGAGATGTCCAGTGGGTGCTTTTGTAAGCTCTTGCCCATCATCCTTGTGTCATGTGCTGTACTATGGGCAGGGGCTCCGCAAGCGTTTCGCCTGGGGCTTCTCTGAGAGTCCTCGCAGCAGTCCTGTGCGGGAGTGCCGAGATGAGCCTCGCTTTCAGCTGTGAAAATGAGCACAGCTGTCTTTCTTGTTCATCATCAGATAAGGTAGGAAACGGTAGAGCACAGACTTGGACCCCAAATCTGCTCTGTTCATCACTGTCCTACTCTTTGTGGTCTTTAGCTTAGAACTAATAGGGCTGGAAACCGTCTGAAGCTGTGTCCTAAATGGTCTTTCAAAAAGTGTCACGCACAACACGTACTGTTCTCTTTTGTAAGGAGAAAACGAATCGTGACTGGTTTTCAGCAGATGCGCATCTGTCTGCTGCCACTGTGAGACGAGATTGAAACAGGCTGCCAGTGGCAGGTCCCGAGCCTCACGTCGCGTTTGCAGCATCACGAGGTCATTCGTTCATTCAGCAAAGCTGCTGAGCTCCCCAGTCACCTGGGCGTCCGCTAAGGAACGTAAATCTGGAAATGGGATCAAATTCCCACTGAGCGCGGCCTTGAGGCTCTGACCTCGCTCCCACCTCACGCGGCCTCTTTGTTGCCTGCAGAGACTGATGAACCTGAATTACCTGGGCAGTGTGTACCCCAGCCGAGCCGTCATCACCACCATGAAGGAGCGCCGGGTGGGCAGGATCGTGTTTGTGTCTTCCCAGGCCGGGCAGTTGGGGCTGTTCGGCTTCACGGCCTACTCCTCGTCCAAGTTTGCTCTGCGGGGCTTGGCTGAAGCTTTGCAGATGGAGGTAAAAGTTGGCTCATTTTTTGCATTTATTCCTCTTAGCTTAGCAACATATTCTTTAGTTTTGTTGCTTTGTATGTTATTGTATTAAATTAGAGATTTGACATCAGTGGAAGAGAACTGGTCAAGTTTTATAGTTAACATTTTTCATTGTGTAAAGATTAGTTAGGAAAGAAGCAAAAATGGTTATGGCATTTTGCTTGTATAATTCAATATACAAAATACTAGAAATATCCTTACAGTTTTATTGGTCTAATACTGTATATGGGTTAAGTTAAGCAGATATTTTAGAAATTTTTCTATAACAAAAAGATTTGTCTTTGTGACTGAATAATTAGTAACTGAAAGAACTTGAATCAGTTAAGAAGCAAGAAGCTTTTTTTTTTTTTTAAGACTTAGTTATTTATTTGAAAACAGTTACAAAAACAGAGAGAGAGAGAGAGAGAGAGCTTTCATCTGCTGGTTCAATCCCAGTTGGCCTCAACATCCAGGGCTGGGCCAGGCTAAGCCAGGAGGTGGGAGCTCCATCTGGGTCTCCCACGTGGGTGACAAGGCCTCAGTACGTGAGCTATACCTGTTGCTTCCTAGGTGCATTAGCAGGGAGCTGGATCCAAAGTGGAATGCCTGGGACTTGAACCAGCACCCCAGGATAGAATGCAGGTGTCCCCAACAGTGGCCTAACCTGCTTCAGCACAAAGCCGGCCCCTAACTCTTAGCATTTAGACAAATCATTTACATTGTCCTCAGTTTCAACATCTGTAATGTGAGAGGGCTGGAAAAAATACATCATTTCGCTCTCGTGACACTTATATTTTAATATCATGAATGCACATCGAGGACAATGAATACTTTCTGTTTCTACAATTGAAAGGACATTTTGTAGAAGAAGGGTAGAGTCAGGATTAGCATCAGAGTCAAGTCATATGCACAACCTCCGACCTCAGCTGGACCAAGTAGATTTCTGCACCGTTGTCACATGGGGGCGCTTAGGATCTTCACTTTACCCCTGTCTAAAACCATGAACCGAGAGGGGCAAGGTAAGATTCATGCCCTTCTGTGAGATTCTATCACAGTCTGTGCTGAAATATAACACTACGTGATGTTCAGCACCCAGAAAATCCTCCATATGACCAACTCTGTTACCATAGAGTATGCTTTTAGGAACCCTGGTTGATGATTTAGATCAGGGATCAGCAACACTCTCAGTAAAAGAGCCAGATAGGGCAGAAGGCCAGATAGGCTGTGAAGGCGGGCTGGTGTCTGTACAGCTACTTGAGTCCACTTTAGCAGCAGAAAGCACCCGTAATTGACAGTATGTAAGTGGGCAGGTATGACTGTAGTCCAGTGAAGTTTTGTGCACACAGGCAAAGGGCTGGATTTTTCTCACAAACCATGGTTTGCTGATCACTAGAGGACTCCTCGCTGGTGTGTGACACAGCACACATTACCTGGATATTGATAACTGCTGCAGTGTAGACGAACTGTGGAGCTGAGTCCTGAGGAGCATCTTAGGGACCAGTAGACTGCCGTTCTCATACCAAAGAAACCGGCCACAAATTTCATTGTTACCAACCGGCTTAATACCTTAATGAAGAGTAGATCATTGTAATACACTTAGAAACATGGCTGTGAAATTTCAAATAAGAATATTGGTATTTCTTTTGCCAACTTTTACCTAAAAGTCCCTTTGTGAATAGCTGTTTTATTTCTACCCCAGTTTTGTGAATATGTGTGGCACATCTTAAGCTGCCTTATAGAAAGAAAACTGAGTTCTCGGTGAATTCAGTGAGTTGCTCAGTCTCGTGGTTCCTTAGTGGTAGCCTGAGTCTACTCCTTGCAGCAGGGTTGTCCACTTCAGGGGAGAGTCGCCTGGTCACTGGACTACTTGCCTCAGCTCTCGGTTTGCTTTTCAAACCCATGCAGGTGCAGAGAGGTTTTGAAGATGAAAAATCTGCTAGTGTGTGTCCCTGAGTCTCATCTCGCAGAGCTGTTAGGATTCGCTGCTGTAGGGAGAAGTGCAGTCTGGTGCTCGGGTTTCCCGTGAGATGAAGCAGAGGTGAGGAGGAGACCAGTGGGTGCTGGTGACGCAGTCCCCTCTGATCAGCGTGCTGCAGCTCTCACAGAGCTCCTTCTCTGCTGCTTCCAAAAAGAATGTCCTCACTTGACCACAAAATCATATAAACATGTACCATGAAAAGCAGGTTTGGGAGAAGAGTAATTTAGTCATCAGATTCAGTTTGTTCATAGAACTTGTAACAAACCAGTCTTTGAAAGCTGAATAATTAAATCAAATTCTATAAATGAAACTATATAATTGATCAAGTTCCAAATTTTTTATAATCCTTTGGTTTAATTAATTTTTTTAAAGATTTATTTATTTATTTGAAAGGCAGAGTTACAGAGAGACAGAGGCAGAGGCAGGAGAGAGAGATCTTCTACCTGCTAGTTCACCCTAAATGGCTGCAATGGCCGGAGCTGAGCTGATTTGAAGCCAGGAGCCAGGAGCCAGAAGCTTCTTCTCAGTCTCCCACGCAGTGCAGGTGCCCAAGGACTTGGGCTGTCTTCTACTGCTTTCACAGGCCAAAGCTGAGAGCTGGATCAGAAGTGGAGCAGCCAAGTCTTGAACCCGTGTGCATATGGGATGCTGGCACTGCAGGTGGCAAAGCTTGACCTGCTACGCCACGGTGCCGGCCCCCCTAATTATTTTTTGAATCTTCCTGTCTGTCTCACCTCGTGCCCAAGCTAACGTAGGACCCTGGAATGGTCTATAATTTTGAAATAATGCTTTGTCAACAACTTTCTTCATCTTTTTTTTTTCTTACTTAGTATTTTAGCTACAAATACATCATTTAAAGATTTTGAAAGTTAATCTTTTTTGGAAAGCAGACTCCTGAAGTGGGTGATAGCCAAAGATGTGGTGGCAGAGACCAAGCCAAAAAAAAAGAAAAACAAACAAACAACAAAAAAAAACCAGTGCTCTCCTTTCTGCCCCTCTTCTTTCAGTCCTGCACTTGCCCGCCCTCCTTGCCCTGAAGGTAAGGTGGCACTGAGCTGTTCCATGTAAACAGCCATCAGTGTCTCTCCAGCTCCCATGTCTTTGTTTTGATGAAATAAGGAACACCATGTACTTAGTATTTTGATAACAAATGGGTTCTGGAGTGAGCATCCTTCTTTCTGTTTGAGGCTGAAGCCATGTGAAACTGAGCGAATGGTGACAGCATCCGAGCGGGGCAGGACAGAAAGAGCACGGTCAGGCAGCAGGGACAGGGATGTGCAGACGTGGCTCAGCAGGGCCACTGGTGAGCGAAGACCTGGCTGACACATTCTTAGAAAAAGCCACGTATTGGCATTGTCCTACCAGGATCAGGAGAAGCCAACCCCCTTCGTTTCCTGTTTGACAGAGTTGTTAGATAGTGGATGAGAGGAAGGTGTGCATACAGTGTACAGTATTCATATTTTAGCAAATTATTGCATCAAGACTTTCAGAGGCTCCATGGAGGTAGGGTTTATGTCTGTTTTGTTCACATCCATATGCTTTGGTCTTAGACTGCATTGCCGGTTAAGTGCCACTGGGGTCAGCCAGCCGTGGATGCAGGAGAGGTGGTGGATAACAATGGCGCAGACACCAGCCCAGGAAGGAACTGGACTTCAGCTGTGAGAAAGCTGTTCTGAAAAGCTCTGTTGTCACCCTTTGACAGCTCAGCCTTGACCTTGTGTTTGAGAAACACTGCTTCGAAATGCTTTTATGTTAGCTTGGGTACCACAGTCCTTGCTTGTTGTGGGCAGGGCAGAGGAGCTGCCTACAAGTGACTGCCTCTGGGTGGGTAGTCAGCATCGTTCTTTATGTATAGGCAACCTAGTTACCACTTACGGGCTGTTTTGAAAGCTTATTATTTTTTTAAGCTTAATTTATTTGAATGGCAAAGTGAAAGAGAGAGGGAGAGGGAGAAAGAGGGAGAATCTCCCATCAGTTTGTTGATTCTCCAAATGGCTGCAACAGCCAGATCTGGGCCAGTATGAAGCCAGGAACTCCATCCTGGTCTCCCACGTAGGTGGTAGGGGCCATCATGCACTGCCTTCCCACACACATTAGTAAGAAGCTGGATTGGGGCAACTGGGACTCAAATCAGTACTCCAGTATGGAATGCAGATATCACAAGCAGCAGCCTAACCTTAGCCCCAAAATTTACTTTTTTAAGTTTCATCTTATAGGAAAGAAAGGGAGACTGAGACAGATGGACAGAGAGAGCTTCCATGTATTAGTTCACCCCCCAAATACCCACAACAACCACAGGTAGGCCAGGCTGAAGCCAGGAGTCAGGAATGCAGTCTGAGTCTCACAGGTGGGTGGCATGGATCCAGTTGCTTGAGCCATCAACTACCACCTCCTAGAGTGCATATTAGCATAAGTCTGGAATCAGAAGTGAGCCAGAACTGGAACCGGGGACTCCAGTATGGGTAGTGAGCATCCCAAGTGGAGTTGTAAACAACTGTGCAAAATGCCCCCCGTTTCTTGACTTTTTTGTAATGTTTTTTCACCCCTGGTCTCGAGAGCAAGACCGTGGGAAACAAATTTTTAAGTCCCTATCTCACAGACAAGTGGAAGAGGAATTGCTCGCTTATCAACCCCACCGCCTGGCCCCGACCCAGAGCTGTCGGTGAGCATAGCTGGGAGATGAGGCCACAAGCTCTGTGGGCGCTGAGCAGACGCGCTCTCACGCCCTGTTCCCCTGGCACTGGACCAGCGGAGGCACCTCCCTTCTGCTACTGCACTTCCCGGGAGGGCCGGCCCAGATCTGCCGCACACTTCTCCCGACCCTGGCAGCCACCCCCGCGAGCTTGGCAACGGCTCTTCGCGGAGGAACCAGGGGGAGAGGGGTTCCAGGAGAGGTCAGGGCCCTGGCGTACCCCTAGAGGCTGTTGCAGTAGACAAAGGTGTCTCAGATACTCAGTCTGCTGTCATGATTACCCTCCCTGTGCCCTGCAGTGGCTGACCGTGCTATCAGTGGCCTCCACTCTCAGATCCCCTAGATGTCTTCATGAGAATAAAAAGTGAGCCAATGCCAAGTCAAACTCACAGCACGGAGATTCTGACGGCCACTGTTGTCCGTCAGCTCGCTAATGGCCAAGGCAGGATGGTGTGTGTGGCAGGGCTAACGCTGGACAGTCTTTGGCAGAATCTGCGGGAATTACTCGGGATGTGTTCACGAGTGGGGAGTTTAGAATAGGGTAGCAGTAGTGAGGTAAATTAGCATCCAGGAAGCAAGGTGGGGAGGGGCTTCTCTGTACAGGTACTGGCTGTGGAGGTCCTGCAGGGGAGCTGTGTGGCTGGTGCCACCCTAGGGGACAGTGACTGTGCTGTTGGTGGGTTGTGGTGGAGGATGGGCAGCGGCTGGTTGAATAGGGAGTTCTTGCACAAGCTGAACTGTCAGGATGGACAGATCCAGCCCTGGGTCTGGAGGCCACGGGGGGTGGGATTTGAGTGGTCAGACATACTCTGTAGATGAAAGCGACATAGCCAGAATACCAGAGACAGTGTGAAGGGAAAACACATTTGCAAGCTGGTAGACAAGGAGCAGACCTGTCCACTGCCTTCAGACAGTGCCTGGACAGTGTGCAGTGTCTGGGGAAGATGAGGAGGCATGTTTTTGTTGTTTTACTTGCTTGAGAAGCAGAGAGAGAGAAACAGCAGCTACAAGCTCACTTGCCACATATCTGCAGTGGCCTAGGCTGGGCTAAGACTGAAGCAAGGCGTCAGGAACTCCGCCAGACGCCCATGTAGCTGACAGGGACGTAACTACTTGAACCGTCACTGCCACTTCCTGAGGTGCACAGTACAGGAAGCTGGAACTGGGTATTGGACCCAGGGACTCTGATACGGGACACAAGCAAATCAACTGCTAGGCAAAACACCCACCCTAGAATCCTTTTTATTTTAAAGACAATTACTCTATCATTTTATTTTGAAAGGCAGACAGAGAGAAGAGGGGGAGCAAGAAAGAAAGAGACAGAACTCGATCTTCTATCCACTGGTCCACTTGCCAGAGGCCTGAAGCAGCCAGAGCTAACTGGGTGCACAGCACTCAATCCCAGGGACCCAGCTCCTTGAGCCATCGCCCACTGCCCCGCAGGTGCACGGTAGCAGGATGCTGCTTCCTAAGCGGAGGAGCCAGGCTTCAGACCAGGCAGGCACTCGATGAGAGCGCCCGCAGCGGCAGCTAACCTCTGTGCCGAGCGCCTGCCCCAGCCCCGTTCCTCATGGCAGTGACGGGGTTTGCCCCGCTTGAGGGTCAGCTGGTTTCTGAAGTGGAGGCCAGCGGGAGCTTCCCCGCCTTCCGTAACCACGCTTCGGCAGGGGGTTGCCGTCTCCACTTCCAGAATCCCCCGTTGGCCGGCGCTCCCCGGCAGTCCCCGGCAGTCTGGGCCGGCCGCAGGTGTGGAAGCAGGAAAGGGAACCGTCTCACTCACCGAGGCTGCTCGTGCTGTTTCTACAACGCAGGTGAAGCCCTACAACGTCTACGTCACGGTCGCCTACCCGCCCGACACAGACACCCCCGGGTTTGCTGAGGAAAACAAAACGAAGGTGAGTGTTTCCGCGTGGCCTCTCAGCTGTCCGTCTGGTTCGCATCCTCCTGGCGGTGCCGAGCGTGGCGCGGGGTTCTCCGCGCTGATCTCGCCTTCCTCTCCTCCCCTCCTTTGAGCTTCCTGTAAATGTTCACTGAACCTGTTTCGGAGCGCTCCATCATCACCTTCGCTCCATCACCTTCGCTCCATCACCTTCGCCTCCCCCGCCCTTGCCCATTCCCTCTTCCCAGAGGCAGTGCTTATTTGAACTCGTTCGGTTAGGTCGCTACTGCATTTTATCAAGATTTGGGAGTTACTTAGGACTTCCCGCCCTGGGCGGAAGCATCGAAGACTCAGATCTGCTCCGCACTCCCGCCTGTCGCCCATCTCTGCTTGAGTCAGCTTCAGCCTGTACCTAAATATGGCTTTACAGACAGCGCGGCGCCGGCCTTTCCGAGCGGACACTTCCTCTCTCGCCTCTCCGTCTCCGTCTGCGCTGGTTTGTGTGTTCCCAGTGAGTTCAGCCCAGGCGGACGCACGAATCTCGGTTGGAAGTAATGTCCCTGAGAGGTTCACAGGTGTTTGTTCATCGACTCAGCCTTCCGGTTTCCAGTAGTCACCCGATGCCGTGTGACTCCCACTCCTTTGGGCAGCACCTATTTTCTGTTTATTTTGGAAGCTCTCAGGCCCTTCTGGTCACTAAGGTACTTTGGATTGGGCGTTCTCATTTCACATCCTTCCACACTCAAAGGAGCCCTTTCTTCAGCCCAGAACTTCAGCTCTGGGGACAGTTTATAAGATTCCTTCTTCGATAATGTGTCTGCATCCACAGTACTCAGGTGTTCTTTCTGGAGTTTGTGTTACTCAGATGTTGAATTTTCTGAACTGATCTACTTTCCCTTCTTTTTCTTTCATTTTCTCTTTATCTTTTTGAGCCATTTTCAAGTTTCATTAACTTTATCTTTTAGCTTTTCCATTGAAATTTTTATTTCTACTGACATGTTAAAATTCCTTGAATACTCTTATTTGAATGTAAATTTCTTAACAGTATGATGCTGGCATCCCATATGGGCGCCAGTTTGAGTCCCGGCTGCTCCACTTTTTCTACTTTTTTTTTTTAAGATTTATTTATTAGAGTGACAGAGTTACAGAGAGAGAGAGGGAGAGACAGAGAGAGAGAGAGTTCTTCTATCTACTGGTTCACTCCCCAGATGGCCACAACAGCTGGAGGTGGGCCAATATGAAGCCAGGAGCTTCTTCTGGGTCTCATGTGGGTACAGCGGCCCAAGTACTTGGGCCATCTTCCACTGCTTTCCCAGGCCATAGCAGGGAGCTGGATTGGAAATAGAGCAGCCAGGACTTGAACTGATACCCACATGGGATGCTGGCGCTGCAGGCAGAGGCTTAACCTACTGTGCCACAGTGCTGGCCCCTGGGCTTAAAAAAAAAAAGATAATTTATTTATTTATTTGGAAGGCAGATTGACAGAGACTGAAAGAGAGAGAGAGATCTTCCATCTACTGGTTCACTCTCCAAGTGCCCCAAACCACCGGGGCTAGTCCAGGCCAAAGCTGAGAGCCAGGAAATCTATCTTGGCCTCCCTCTTGGGTGCAGGAACCCAACTATATGGGCATCATCTGCCCTTTCCCAGGCACGTTAGCGGAAGCTGGATGAGAAGTAGAGGTGAGGCTCAATCCCAAGCACTCCAGTGTGGGATTTGGGCAGTGGCTTAACCTGCAGCACCACAGTAGCCACCCCTCATTCTGGGCTTTTGGTCTCATTTATTTTTGTTCTTTTCTCCTGGATTTGACATTTTCTTCTGTCTCCTGCATTATGCATGTCCTCTAAGTTTCTTTTTCTCTGTTGTTATTTTAGGCATTGCTGTTACGTCTGGTGATCTTTGGTTGTCCATAGTTAAGGCAGGTGCACTAACGTGCGAGTGGAAACACTGGCTTCTCCACGTTCTCTTAGCCATAGGGTGGGCAGGAGGGGCTCCAGCTGTTTCATTAGCAGATTCCCCCCAGAGGCATCAGCCCACAATTTCTAATGACTCAGCTTGTCAGGGAGGAATCATTAGTCTCCTGCCTCTGGGAGAACTACGACCAGCTCCAAATCGTGAGACCCAAGCAGGTCAGGAGGTCTGGGAGGCTCACCACTCAGCGCCAGCTTCTGCTTAGTTTTTCTGTTTCCAGCAAGGCGCCTCGTAACTGCTCAAGGAGTGGACATCAGTGTTCTAGAGTTAACTCTCTGATTAATGAACTGCTAATCTTCTGCCACTGTAAGGGAGAAGAGTTGGAGTCAGGTGACTGGGTTTCCAAAGCACTCATCGAACCCAGACACGTAAATGACTGCCAGTCATCTGGGCTGAACGCGAGCGTCACGCCTTGTTTGCTGGAACGTCCCCTTTGCCTTGACACACAGTTGTGGCTCTCTGAGCAAACAGACAAGTAACATGGGAAGAAGGGAATCAACCAGAGATTCTTTCTCCTTTTTAGATTCCCCATTGCTTCTCTTGTATAGTAATGGTGTAAATCTTCATAGCATAAAAATTGACATTTGTTTCATGTTCAGTATACTCGCAAAAACGACGTTTATGATTTAGAGGCTCTTTTACCTGTTCTCTTTGGTTTTGCCTCTTAAAATTAGTGCTATTTCAAAGAAGTAAACTTAAGCTGAATGAGCAGAGATCTGCTAGACAGATTTGTGACATTTGGTGCAGTGTGAAGCCAAAGCTGACCAAGGGTGATGGCTTTTCTGTTAAGATTTGATTTTGATGTCAGACTGGGTTTTTTCCTCAGGTAAAATTTTGAGCCAACTTCTTTGGGAGAAAAGAAAATTTCTGCATTGATCTGTGGGCTCTTTAGGGGGCGACATAGTGCTTTTAAATCTCATGAGTATTTAGAACCTAGAAGAATGAATTGCACTACTTTCCAATGGATCTTTCTCTTTATCCCGTTTTTCTTTCTTTTTTTTTTTTTAATTTTCTTTTATTTATTTATTTGAAAGGCAGAGTTACAGAGAGAGAGGGAGAGACAGAGAGAGGTGTTCCATCTGCTGGTTTACTCCCAAAATGGCCACAACAGCCAGGGCTGGGCCGGGCCAAAGCCAGGAACCAGGAGCTTCAAACAGGTCTCCCACATGGCTACAGGGACACAAGAATTGGGCCATCCTTCGGTGCTTTCCCAGGCGCATTAGTAGGGAGTGGGATTGGAAGTGGAGCAGCTGGGACTCAAACTGGCACCCATATGGGATGCTGGCACTGTAGGCTATGGCTTGGACTCACTGTGCCACAGCGCCAGCCCCTCTCTTTTGTTTTTTAGTTTATTTACTTGAAACGCAGAATGACAAAGAGAGAGAGATTTCCATTCACTGCTTCACTCCCCAAATGCCTGCAACGGCTGGTGTTGGGTCAGACTGAAGCCAAGAGCTTGGAACTCCATCTGGGTCTCCCTGGCAAATAAAATTTAGTCTCCTATAGCCTAGGGCTTCAGTTTGAGATTTCTGATTGAAACTCCCTTTGAAAGAATTTTTGAGCATACATGTGCCACAGTGCTGAAGGCCAGGATTGAGGCTGCCCCTGCCCAGGGCCGCAGCTCTCTCCCCATCAGTCATCTCCTGGCTTAGGAGTTTGGTCAGAAAGGAAGTGCTGGTCACATGAGCAGATTTGCTTTAAACACGGGGTCTAGATCTGCTGCGACACCATAGGTCAAGTGTCTGGCCAGCAGTGGAGTCAAAGGGGGGCGTTACTAAACTTGGATTCCATGGTGCACTCTCTGGCCATGACGGACCTCTGAGGAGCCGAGACCACCCAAGTCCTACACAGAAGTGAGCTCAATTTTATACAGTAACCAGGTAGACACTGATTTAGAATCCAAAGCTTATTCTAAACATAGGAATCTGCTCAAGGGTAGAAAGTTAGGATTATTTGAAAATCATCAGGGGAACTGTAAGAATCATTATTTTTTTAAAAGTAATGGGCAATAGGCTGGTGCCACGGCTCACTTGGCTAATCCTCCGCCTGCAGTGCCGGCACCCCAGGTTCTAGTCCTGGTTGGGGCACCGGATTCTGTCCTGGTTGCTCCTCTTCCAGTCCAGCTCTCTGCTGTGGCCCGGGAAGGCAGTGGAGGATGGCCCAAGTGCTTGGGCCCTGCACCTGCATGGGAGACCAGGAGGAAGCACCTGGTTCCTGGCTTCGAATCAGCGCAGTGTGCCAGCCGCAGCGTGCTGGCCGCAGCGGCGTTGGGGGGTGAACCAACGGAAAAAGGAAGACCTTTCTCTCTGTATCTCTCTCTCACTGTCTAACTCTGCCTGTCCCAAAACAAACAAACAAACAAACAAACAAAACAAAAAAAAAGTAATGGGCAGTAGTGGTGTTAATATGTACATTTTTTTTTTCAATTTTAGCCTTTGGAAACTCGACTTATTTCAGAGACCACATCTATTTGCAAACCAGAACAGGTTGCCAAACAAATTGTCAAAGATGCCATAGTAAGTAAAATTCTTTTTTGTTTTGTGTACTACCATTTGAAGTTCTGGTTGTTGAAGGATTTATTTCAAAACAAAAATTATAATTTTTTAATCAGATTAATTATATCCAGTATTGGACTCTACTTTTCTTCCCTTACATACTTTGTTGATTCCATATTAATGTATGCTCCTGTAGCTAATTAGGAATAGATTTACCAGTAAGAATGTCTGGGAACTTTGGTTCTTTGTAAAGAAAATCAGTCCTATGGTATGTAAACAATATTAACACTATATAACACTATGGTACATATACAATATAAACACACAATATATACTATATTTTCTTTTTTTTTTTTAAAGATTTTATTTATTTATTTGAATGTCAGAGTTACACAGAGGGGAGAGGCAGAAAGAGAGAGTCTTCCATCTGCTGGTTCACTCCCCAATTGGCCACAATGGCTGGAGCTGCACCGATCCGAAACCAGGAGCCAGGAGCTTCTTCCAGGTCTCCCATGTGGGTGCAGGGGTCCAAGGACTTGGGCCATCTTCCACTACTTTCCCAGACCATAGCAGAGAGCAGGATTAGAAGTGGAGCAGCCAGGACTCGAGCCGGTGTCCATTTGGGATGTCGGCACTGCAGGTGGCGGCTTTACCTGCTATGACACAGCCGGCCCTATACAGTATTTTCAGCATATACTATATATAGTATTATATGCACATACATACACTATATGCTGTATTTTCAGTTTTAGATCTTTTTAATTGCCAGGCTCATTGACTAAGGGTTTTCTTACCCCTTCTTTCTTGCCAGCATCATTTCCCCATAAGTGAAATAATTAGAACGCCTGCTCGCCTGCTGGGCCGCCATCCAGTCATCTCAGCTGACATGCCTTCTCGGCTTCTGAGTTTACTGGGAACCAAAAAATGGTGCCTTTACACATCCTGTGCTGTTTTGTAGAACAGCAGGATATGTGGCCCATGCGTTTTGACAACATTCTTATTAACCCACATGCAGAAAAAGAGACATTCCCGAGGGTGCCTGGGAGTCATAATCCCACACTGAATTTGGAAAAATCTTTAGGACCACTGAAATGAAGGCATCAGCAAGGCATCAGTATGCCATGTGGCTGCCTGGAAGTAGCCAAGTAGCGTTGTATGAGTCTGAACTGAGCAGAATAAAAGAAATAATGAATTCTGTTAAAATGATTACAGATGTGAAGAATTGTGCCATCACATTAAAAGGCCTGGGAAGATTGTACAAGTGGCCCAAGGGAGACTTTGTTTTCTGCTTATCTCAAGTCAAAGCAAATACACTGCTGCTTTTTAATTTTAGTTTATTTACTGGGGGGAGGGGGTAGAGAATGTACTACCATCCACTGGTTCATTCCCTAGATGTCTACAACAACCACACTGGAGCCAGGGTCCTAGAGTCAGTCCATGTCCCCCAGGTGGGTGGTAAGGACTCAGCTACTTCAGCCGTCCCCAGTGCCTCTAGGGTGTGCGTTAGTGGGACTCTGGTCTCAGGAGCCAGAGCCAGGTACAGAACCTGGCACTCCAAGGTGAGATGCAGTGTCCTAACTAACTGGCATCTTAACCATTAAGCTAAATACCTGCTCCCCACTGTACTTTTTAGTGATCCTACATTGCTCTTCATATTTTGGTAAGATCAATTTAGTCTGAGGGCTTTCAAACTGTTTCTTCCCTTGACCATTTTACACTATTAGAAGTGGTTGACAACCCCAGAGAACTTTTATTTATGGAGGTTGTTAAACGTATCAATATCTGCCATATTAGAAGGTAGAAATTATGTAATTTTTGAAGTCAGTTATGAATTAATTTAAAACTGACAATAATAAGCCCATTACATTTTAATGTGACATATATACAAATATTTTTAAAGATTTATTTATTTATTTAAGAGGCAGAATGACAGAGAGAGGGAGAGACAGAGAGAAAGGTCTCCCATCCACTGGTACACTCCCCAAATGGCCACATGGCTAGAGCTGGGCCGATCCGAAGCTAGGAGCCGGGAGCCTCTTCTGTATCTCCCAAGTGGGTGCAAGGTCCCAAGCACTTGGGCCATCTTATACTGCTTTCCCAGGCCATCGGCAGAGAGCTGGGTCAGAAGAAGAGCAGGCTCCCCAGTGCCCATATAGGATGCCGGTGCCTCAGGCAAGGCTTAGCCTGGTACACCACAACGTTGGCCCCTAAAGTTATTTGTTTTTTTAAAACAAAACTTCAGTGAGAAGCGTGGTATTATTTTATATTTTCAGTGGTCTTTTTTAACGTCTGTTCATGGAAGACAGCTGGATTCTCTTAGCTGCTTCTCCATTCAAGCTGTTTTGATTGAAGAATCTGAAAGAAACCTGGCCTTACCAGACATGTAGTTAAGGGGTAGTACTTTACTAAGCTTTTCAGATAATTATGGAGATAATTTTCTTTTTTGATATTAAACCAAAATTTGACAAATGATACTTTCTTAAATGTTAGTTGCAAATCCATTGGATACCATATCAATGAAGTTTTTGTTCTCAGTGACATTAAAATCCATCAGTCTGTCTTGGACTTTCAATGAATCTTTTACTCATTCATGATTTTGTATTAGTCACTTGGAAAATATGGTTTCACTGAGTTATCAAAAAAATTTATGGGGCCCACGCTGTGGCATAGAAGGTTAAGCCTCCGCCTACGGTGCCAGCATCCCATATGGGCACCGGTTCTTGTCCTGGCTGCTCCACTTCAGATCCAGGTCCCTGCTGGTGGAAAGGCAGTGGAAGACGGCCCAAGCTTTTGAGCCTCTGCCACTCGTGGGAGCCCAGATGAAGCTCCTGGCTCCTGGCTTCAGTCTGGTCTTGCACTGGCTGTTGTGGCCATCTGGAGAGTGAACTAGTGAATTGCAGATCTCTCTCTGTCTATCCCTCTGTCTCTCTAACTCCAACTTTCAAACAAAATAAATATTTTTTAAAAGCACATATTTTCATAGATCTGAATTTTCTGAAATCTGAGATCTGAAATATCAGATTTTAACATTGACTGCAAATGTGGCTGTTTTTCTTGAAGTGAATTCTCATTTCATTTTCTGTAAATCTGCCACGTACCCAATTTCGAATAACTACAGTTTCCTGCCCATGATTCTTTCATATAAAAAACAGTGTTCCAGGAGCTGGTGTTGTGGCTCAGCAGGGTAAACCATTGCTTGGACGCCCACATCTCCAATCAGAGCATGGTTCGAGTCCACATACTCTGTGTCTGACACAGCTTCCTGCTAATACACTGGGGAAGGCAGTGGCTGGCAGCCCAAGTACTCGGGTCCCTGCCACCCATGTGCAACACCCAGGTAGAGTTCCAGTTACTGATTTTGGCCTGGCCCAGCCCTGCCTGTGAACCAGTGGATGGAAGATCTCTTTCTCTGTCACTCTGCCTATCAAATAAAATGAGTCTTTTTTGAAAAATGGGATCCCAAGAACAAAACCTCAAGTTTGGCTCTTGACTTGAGCAGCCGCCATGTGGGGGTTTTCCTTCACATCAACCATTCCAGGGTCTGCACCTCAGCAGAAGTCATTTGTGAGTATTTCTCATTTGTCACCCGGGGGAGGGTTGTTTTTTTTTTTTTTTTTTTTTTTTTTTTTTTTTTTTGGACAGGCAGAGTGGACAGTGAGAGAGAGAGAGACAGAGAGAAAGGTCTTCCTTTGCCGTTGGTTCACCCTCCAATGGCCGCCGCGGCCAGCGCGCTGCGGCCGGCGCACCGCGCTGATCCGGTGGCAGGAGCCAGGAGCCAGGTGCTTTTCCTGGTCTCCCATGGGGTGCAGGGCCCAAGCACCTGGGCCATCCTCCACTGCACTCCCTGGCCACAGCAGAGGGCTGGCCTGGAAGAGGGGCAACCGGGACAGAATCCGGCGCCCCGACCGGGACTAGAACCCGGTGTGCCGGCGCCACTAGGCGGAGGATTAGCCTAGTGAGCCGCGGCGCCGGCCTTTTTTTTTTTTTTTAACTTTTATTTAATAACTATAAATTTCCAAAGTACAACTTTTGGATTATAGCAGATTTTCCCCCTATAACCTCCCTCTCACCCACAACCATCCCATCCTGCACTCTCTCTCCCATCCCATTCTTCATCAAGATTCATTTTCAATTATCTTTATATACAGAAGATCTACTTAGTATTTGCTAAGTAAAGACTTCAACAGTTTACATCCACACAGACACACAAAGTACAGAGCACTGTTTGAGTAGTAGTTTTACCGTTAATTCACATAATACAACACATTAAAGACAGAGATCCTACATGGGGAGTAAGTACACAGTGATTCCTGTTGTTGATTTAACAATTGACACTCTTATTTATGACGTCAGTAATCACCTGAGACTCTTGTCATGAGCTGCCAAGGCTATGGAAGCCTCTTGAGTTCACCAACTCTGATCTTATTTAGGCCATATTCAAAGTGGAAGTTCTCTCCTCCCTTCAGAGAGAAAGATACCGCCTTCTTTAATGGCCCGTTCTTTCTGCTGGGATCTCACTCACAGAGATCTTTCATTTAGGTCGTTTTTGTTTTTTGTTTTTGTTTTTGTTTTGTTTTTGTCTTGGCTTTCCATGCCTGAGAAACTCTCATGGGCTTTTTAGCCAGATCTGAATGCCTTAGGGGCTGATTCTGAGGCCAGAGTGCTGTTTAGGACATCTGCCATTCTATCAGTCTGCTATGTATCCTGCTTCCCATGTTGGATCATTCTCTCCTTTTTAATTCTATCAGTTAGTATTAACAGACACTAGTCTTGTTTATGTGATCCCTTTGACACTTAATCCTATCATTATGATCAATTATGAACTGAAACTGATCACTTTGACTAGTGAGATGGCATTGGTACTTGCCACCTTGATGGGATTGAATTGGAATCCCCTGGCACGTTTCTAAGTCTACCATTAGGGGTAAGTCCGAGTGAGCATGTGCTGGGGTTTTGAACACATGTCCTCAAGAGCTGAGATTTAATAAAATGATGAATTCTCCTTCTGCACAAAGAACACTTTAAAGCAAAATTGCCATCTTTTTTTTCATTTTTACAGATGTTTTTCAGTTGTTACTTTCTTTGTGTGTTTATAACTGCAAGTGGAGGTAACAATGACTAATCGTGCACTCTGGCTGGACTACTGCGGTTTGAGCCAGTGTCCCATCAGCTTTGCCTGGTGCAAATGTCACTGATGAAAAAGGCAGTTCATATCTTAGTAGCAGTATGACAGCTGTGTCTCTGGGACCCCCTGCAACAGTCCCAGAGACCCCCCCAGAAGTCTCTGGGTCTTGTTTTGAGAACCACCCATCTGGCAAGGTCACAGGTCCATTTATAAGCTCTGAAAAATATGCCTTGTTACGGACTTCCCGCTTCTAAAGTGAACAGACACGCTTCCTTGTTGCTGCTGTGTTGAACTGAATCCTTCCCCTTCGCTGTGATCCCCTCTCTGCCTTCTCTTTCAGCAAGGGAACTTTAATAGTTCGGTTGGCTCTGACGGGTACATGCTCTCGTCCCTCACCTGTGGGATGGCTCCAGTGACTTCCATTACTGAAGGGCTCCAGCAGGTGAGCTCCGCCTGGGCCGGCAATCAGTCGATGGATGGGTGGATGGACAGATGGATCAGACGAAAACTGCCTCTCGTGCAGCCTGGATGAGAAAAGGCTAAAAGTAGACTAAATAACTCTCTTTGAGAATAAGAAGAATTTTTCCCATACCATATTAGCTTTTTCTCTAACAGACTTGTAAATAGGCAATTTGTTTTGAGTCCTTCCATATTTGAAAATGTTGCTCTTTCTCCTTAGAACTCCATGCCTTTTCAGAATGCCTTTGCCTTTAGGGTTGCTTTAGTGAGGACCTTGTCGGGCAAAGGGTGGAGGTAAATGGATATGGCTCATTGCTGTCTTGACCCTGGAATGGTAGTTACTTCTCCCATGATTTTCTTCCTAATTAACAGATACACTCACTGAGGGCAGAGACTGTGTCTTTTTCACCACAGTATTCTCAGCACCTAGTGCACAGTCTCACGTTTTGTGTTCAGAACATAAGTCTTAAAGCAAACAAGGGCCTCGGTTGCAGTTTGGATATTTGGGTGCTGGAATGGATCTCCCCTGGTTCTTCCTGAGTATTTAGGGCCACTGAGAATCCCTGTTTTGTTCTTTTCACAGTTTTTTTTTTTATTTTTTTAAAAAAAGATTTATTTTATTTATTTGAAAGAGAGTCACAGAGAGAGGTAGAAACAGAAAGAGGTCTTCCATTTGCTGGTTCACTCCCCAGATGGCCACAACGGCCGGAGCTGTGCCAATCCAAAGAGGAGCCAGGAGCTTCTTCCAGGTCTCCCACATGGGTGCAGGTGCCCAAGGACTTGGGCCATCTTCTGCTGCTTTCTCAGGCCACAGCAGAGAGCTGGATGGGAAGAGGAGCAGCTGGGACTCGAACCAGCACTACTATGGGATGCCCGGAACTTCAGACCAGGGCTTTAACCTGCAGTGCCAAAGTGCCGGCCCCTCACAGTTTGTGTTTATTAATTGGAGGATATTTGTTGTGATACAGAGCACATGAACTCTATTCTCAGGACCTACACTTACCAAGGTTGTGTTGTGCGTATCCTTGGAGCAGATCAGAAGATGTGTGCAAAAACAGTTTGCTAGAGACCCAAATACCTTGAAAAGAATCAGCATCTTGCACCTCTGAGTGAGCTGAAAGGTCTCTCTCTGTCTTGCAGGTGGTCACCATGGGCCTTTTCCGCACGATTGCTTTGTTTTATCTCGGGAGTTTTGACAGCATAATCCGCCGCTGCATGATGCAGAAAGCAAGATCTGAAACTGCAGACAAAACTGCCTAATCCATACCCCTTGGAAGAAGACTTGTTTCCAAGTAATTCCAACAGCTTGCTGCTAAATGGGACCCAAGGTTTGGCCTGAAGACACTTCCATGTTGTTTTTGAATGTGTGAGATTGGACCACTGGTCTTCAGAAACCTGGCTGAAAGTGAGGGGGTCGAAGGCCAGCTCCAGAGAGTGTCGTGAACACTATGCAAACCTGGCATGGGAGACCATCGGACTGTCTGGGCTCCAGGCTGGACAGGTGGTGCTGGGAGAACCAGCAGCAGGTGAACAGGGTAAAGTACAGGATTTCAGAATGATCATTTAAATGTTTTGTATTTATTCCGCTTCTGCCCCCAACCATACCCCAGAGAGAGACCAGGTCCAGAAATATACTTAATGGCACAAAGAAATCTTGAGGACTTTTTTAAACCTTCCATGAAGGCAGAGTATGGATTACTGGGGTTTTGCTTTTTTTTCCACCTGTTTTTCACTTGGTCTGTTTTGTTGGAAAAGAGTTTTACACATCACTTATGAGTGAACGCGGCTGACACCTAGGTGTTGTACTTGGGACTCACTCTGCTGCAGCTGATGGAAACTCGGGGCTTCTCTCTCTCTTTGATCCCACTAAGCTCCCGGGGGATGAGAGAGGGCACTGCGGTGAAAGGTAAGGAGATTAATATTTTCCAGTAGGGAAAACAGTGCTTTCTTGTCTTCTTTAGACTCAGATGTTTGGGAACTTTTCATTTTTCATTCGTGGGGAAAGGCAGCCTCCTTAAATGTTTCTGAAGAGAAATAAAAATCTTAGAAGCTTAAAAGTTTACAACTTCTTCAGTAGCCATGCTGATCTGAAGTCCACTCATTCTATTTTAGCATCTTCTTATTCCTCCCATCTCTTCCTTCCCAATTCTGCTTATCTGGCTGTTAAGATTTTTGTAAGGGAAAAAAAAAGAAGAAAAGAAAAAAAGAAGGCCAGCTACAACTTTTTGACTTGACTTTTTAAATTAATTCTTGAATTAATTAAAACAAGTGAAAACATGACAAAGTGTGACATTCTTCTTGTAGCCAATCTGTAGCTTTCAGAGAAGACTCTTGATGGTTCATGTAAATTGTACTCATTAGGGAAAGAAGACAAGGCTGGTTTTGAATATACTCGTTTTGGAAATCAGATGATCACCTGTTCTTTCTGCGACTCGGCCCCCAACTCTGAGGGCATGACCTTCGGGCCACATGTCCAGGAAGCCACTCTTTACTCTCACAATAGGACGTGTCTTCAAAAAGTTCATGGAAAATACGTATTGGGAATAAACAATGTGTGGATTTCAAAAGCGTTTGCACCAAAATAAACAGCTTTTAATTCCACTTTTTTCCACGAACTTTGTGAAGTCCTCTCATCTAGCCCTGGAAATCCTCTCGGCTCCATGAATGTTCCCAGGTACAGGGACCTCTTGTCCATATAGGGGATTTCTACAGCAAGTGCCTGAGATAGGTTTTAGCCAAATTCCCTGCTCCTCCAGTTACGCGTATGCACACCTCTGACTTAAGAAAGTTACCTCTCTGTGTGTGACCCCTCCTTCTCACCCACACAGCAGTGCATTCTGGTTCACTTCGGCGAGAAAAAGACCTCTGCTTTTGAAGAAGAAACTTTTTTATTGTAAAATAAATAAATAAATGCTCAATAGAAGATGGAAACCTGAAAATGATAGCAAGCCTTTTATAAACTTGAGTTTTTGAAGCTTTTGAATTTAAAAAGACTTAATTTTTAGATAGTAAAATGTTTAATGGCTTAAATCCATGTTATCTTTTTATCAAGATCTGAGAAGGACATATTTTAAATACTGGTAAATACAGAAGAAATTATTACTTAATATATAAATTGCCCGGAATGACTTCATCACAGTTTACGGGAGTAGGTTGATGCCAAAATGGTTTTATAAACCTCTCAGCCTTATTTAGCCAAAGTTTGTGACTGCTGGGCCACAAAAATGGAAATATGGCTCTACCTTTGTAGTTTGCAGAAAATAATTACATTAATATCTTTTTTTTAAAGTAAATGTTCCTTGAATGTTGACACCTTCTACTACTGGTCTGTACATATTGAGGTCTATCCATGATGGTTTCTGATTCAATGAAATTAATATTCAGCAATTTTTCAATATACATTTTTTCCAGGTATCCTCAGAGAGAGTGTCTGTGGGCAGTCTGCTGCTTGGATGAATTTTAGAGCCCCTGTTCTGTGGTAGGAGGTACAGTCCCTAGCCTGGGTTAGGCTCAGGCTGAGAGATTTTGTAGAGGTCATAATGTCTTGGAAACAGCTTCTGTGTCAGAGAGGTTAAAGGTCCACAGTCCCTTGTCCCAAAAGCCTTCAAAACTAAGTGTGCTTTTCTGAAGTTGATGCCGTAATTGAATTGGGAGCAGCTGCTGGGATCACTGTGGTCATCATTATGCCACTTCACGGGACTGCTTGCTACTTCACCTGGGTTCGTTCCAAGCACTGCCCCAGACTCTCTGAAGGTATTCTGTAATACCCAATATGCTTCCTAAGACCTCGTTAAAATCCAACCAGCTATGAATTCTGATACGCATCTGGCCCAAAAGGTCTGGAATAGGGGATTTGTAGACTTTTAAACTGCCTCACACAATGGTCCAACTTTATCCAATACATGAAAATACTAGAAGGAAAATTTTCCTTTTTTATCTTTTTTGGCTCAGTTCTTATGCAACTTGTTTCTCTGCTCAGGGGAAGAGAGCAAACAAGCAAAATTCCCAAGTCCGATGGCTAGGGAGACGATCCACTTTGTCCTAGGGATCACACTGATTGGGCACCATCTACTTCCACCCAGAGGCGGAGAATCTTGCCCACGCCAGGAGAACGTTAATTACAGTTCCCTTGCAACATGAGAGAACTGCGTGAAGCTCAGTTCTGAAGTGCCTCCTCTGCTGGGTTTGGCTGCACTATTTCACTGTAATGCTTATTTGTAAGGATATTCATTTAAATAACATTCAGCCACGGAAATTCCAAAGTGTGTTCTAGGACCCTTCATAATTGAAAAGGGTATAGAAAGCAATCCTCGTTCCTTTTTACAAAAACAAAATCATGAAATTGTCCTTTCCTTTATATATTTTAACTTAATCACTTGCATAGTTGAAAAGAAAGTTTGATGCTGTTATGCTCTCTTTACATTAATACTTACATATATTTAGCTATAAATCTTTATCTAGATCTGTTCAACCATCTATTATAGAGTCTTACAACTGAAACCTTGAGGGACTATTTCTGATATTTAGATGATAAAAGCATTTTGGTAAAAGTTGTTTCAATTCCAAGAATTGTATGTTTGTCTCTTTCCAAAAGAAGGCAATATCATAGATATCTTTTGCTGAATTATATCACCATTTAGTACTATTACATCATGTTCCAATTTAAGCACACCTCACCCGAGATCACTTTTAAATATTGGTACTTTTTGACATAAGATGCTTTGTATCTTTCTCATTTCCTCTAGTTCTAACAACGCAGCTTTAAAAAGTACTTGCTAACTCGGACCTTCGGGATTCTGGAGTAAATCTTGCTGTTCAGATTACAGTTCAGTGCGATGACTGTGGGTTTGATATTTGGAAGAAGCGATGGTAGCAATTATATTTTACATTGGCTTGATGTGAAAACTGTAAAGACATTTTTAAATTGATAAAAGTGCACCTGGCTATTTTGATACATTTTAGAACTTGTGTTTGCTACTTGAGACGCTTTTGTGGCAGAATTGTAACCTAATTTTCATATCTTGTATTTCTGAATCACAACAAAAATAAATGGGGAACAAGCTTTACAGACTTGAAAACTTTTTTTCTAGAATTTCACTTTTTAAGGAGACCACTTAAGCAAAGCGCAAACGTCTAAAATTGTCCTGACTTTGCATCCTAAACATTTTCACATTTCTATCATTTTTAAAAATTAATTTTTCCAGAATATGTACTTGCTATTCTGAGCTCTTGTTTCAAATGTTGGATTTATGTGCATGATGTGAGATACAGGAGTAAAAGTTTAGGAAGTGTGAAATTTAGTAAGATTTCTTGATTTCCTATACTTTATTAAGCCTGCATGTTCCAACAATGAGTTATCTCCTGGACTGTGAAGAGTGGTATTATTTTCCAAGAGTGATTCGTAAAAGAATGTGCCTTGATACTTGTCAGTTCTTAAGTAGGACAGTTTGATCACATTGAGACTCCTTGCATGTCTTGGTTGATTGGCAAGCCCCACCTTTCTTTAAATTTGAGCAATTTATATACCTAAGTGGCATGTTGTACCACTCCTGTAACTTTCGTATGTGGACATTAAGAAGGTACTGTTCCTTGATTTGCATCCTACTCCTAAATTTATGCCTTCCTTATTCAGCATATGTTTTTTGTATCTCCATATAAGCTTGGAGTCTGAGCACTGCAGATACAATTCTGGGGGAACAATTGGTCCCTGTCTGGTGGTGGCTGCATTTCTTATTTCTTCCATGTCTTCCCTAACTCTCATTCCTCAGATGGGCCTAATGCATTCTCACAAGTCTTCCTATATTTCCTTCTCCAAGTTGTGGCTTCTAAATTCTGTGTTGAAAATATTTGAATACCAAGCACTGTTCCAGTCTGGGAATGCGTCAAGTAAAAATGTAGTCCCTGCTGTCAGATAATTTATAATCTAGTGAGAAAGTCATATGTCAGAAATTACACTATGATTGACAATAGCTTTGATTAATATATCATAACTAACACTGAAAACTTAACAGGTGCCAGTCATTGTTTTGAGTGCTTGACATGTTTTAGTTTATTGAAATCATACACTAATCCCATGGGTAAGTACTATTTATATCTCCATGTTATAAACCAGGGATCAGGCACCAAGAGGTTGAATAACTAGCTCGAGGTCATAGCTACTCAGTGAAGAGGCCAGGACTCAAACCCCTGCTCTTGGTTTCTGAACTCCTAGCCTCTGTACTAAACCATAGTGGTGTAGATGTAATCCTAAGGATGCCCAGGAGAGTCAGGGATAATTTCACAGAGGAAGACATTCGTGAGCTGAAACTTGAAGAAAGTGTTTGAATTTGTCAGGTGAAATACTGGGTGCACTGTTCAGGGAAGCCAGCAATTATGCAAAGGCAAAAGAGTTCAGAGATCTTGCATATTCCAGAAACCACCAAGAGTCAGTGTGTAGGGCCTTCAAAAACTCAATGGACAGTGTGTGTTATGAAAAAACTGACTTTCAAGAATTTTTGCACCAAAACAAGCATCTTTTAATTCTACCTTTCCATGAACGTTTTCAAGTACCCTTGCATAGCTTCAAGAAGGGAAAGCTGGAAGGGCAGGCTGAGCCCCAAGGTGGCAGGCCCGAGCCAGATCACACTGTAGATCTGTGGATGATCAAGCCTTTGAAGAACTTTGGACTAGCTGGGTTTTAGTTTCAGAAAGATCCGGGTACCCCTTGAAGCTTAGATCTATTGTTGCTGAGTCCTGAGGTCTTGGAGTAAACAATCATCATTATTTGTTTTTTAAAAATACCATATTAGATACCTATTGCAATGGGTTGACTCATGTCACTCTAAAAAACGATGAAGTCCTAACCCCTGCCTCATACCTGTAAATGTGACCTTATTTGAAAATAGGGTCCATGCCGATGAAACCGTGTTAAGATGAAGTCAGTAGGATGGGCCCTAATCCAGTATGACTGATGACCTTATAAGAAGAGGACAAAACAGACCCCCAACACTGAGTACCACGCTGTACCAGAGCCAGAGATGGGGATGCACCTGCTACCCAGGAGATGTCAAGGTTTGCTGGCCACCAAGGAAGCTAGGGAGAGAATAGGAAAGATTCTACTCAGGCAGAGGGACATGGCCCTGCTGACACCTTGATTTTGGACTTCCACCCTCCAGAACCATTGAGAGTAAGATTTCTGATGTTATAAGCCACCTAGTGTGTGATACTTTGTCCCAGCCACCCTAGGAAACAAATACTGTCAACCTTCACTGTTCACTGGCACTTTCTGGAAGATATGCTCTGTGCTCTAACAACATTCGAGAATAAAAGTTACTGCACATAAGAATGTAAACTGTTCACCGAATCCCCTGGATACTATGGTGTTACCCCTTAACTGGTTCTGTAACTGCAGTTTGAATCCATGCAGAGCAATAGACATTTCAAAAATATAAGACAAGTTCCTACTCCTTATTTTATTTGAAGCCCCATGTCATAAAATCTTGAAAGAGAAAAAAAATCACAAGTGAATGTCCTATGGTTTGATGTAAACCAAAAGTAAACATTATTTGTTGCTATTAAACTTGGACAACAGGATGGTTTATCTTGTAGTTCACTGCCTAGTTTTAAAGATAGGTGCTTAATCTTAACATTTTTTGAGGTGTAGGACCTGCCATAATTCATCAAGTGGATGTCTAAGTTAAACTAAGGCCACAACTTGACTTGCTTCCATTTGAAAGAGGCTCCTATGACGAGTGGTTTGAGAGCACAAGCAGAGGACCTGGATGTGCCCTGAGTGAGATGGCATAGAGCAGAAGAGATGTTCTGGGGCACAGGTGAAGTGGGAACAGTGTGACGGGGGCTTATTCACGGGTACTCCAAAAGGTTTATGGAAAACATTTATTGTGATGCATTGTTTTAAAATTGGGGCAGGCAGTAGACCTAGCAGTGCAGATGCCACTTGGGACACATGCATCCCATATTGGACTGCTTAGGTTCGAGCCCTGCCTGTACTCCCAGGTCCACCTTCTGGGTAATGCGCACCCTGGGAGGCAGTGGTGATGACTCATGGGCTTGGGTCCCTACCACCTACCTACGGTGGGAGACAAATTGAGAACCTGGTTCCTGGTTGGGGAGTGAACCAGTGAACGGGAACGTTCTGTCAGACTAATTAATTAATATTTTAAAAATGTTTGAAATCCATGGACTGTTTTATAATGCACCTTTTTTATGAACTTACTGAAGACCCCCGTGTGCATGAGTTTTAACATTTTTGCACCAAAAATAAGCATCTTTTCCATTTGCCACAAACTTCTTGAAACATGCTTTTAGAGTGCTTGTGTCCAAGGTATTAAAGCCAGTGCAAAGAATATTGCACTGTTCATAAGAGTTTAAATGTATAAAATACCAGAAATTATACTAATATAATACTAGCATAAATAATTTGGATGCTTCTGTAGGCCCATAGGTGCTGTAATTTGCAGGGTTTTTTGTTGTTGTTGCTTTTTAGGCAAGCTGCATGGACTACTTGGCTTTACTCTCTATTCATTTTGTTTATGGATTTTTTTCCACTTCCTTTGGAGAAACAGTTGATGTTTTTAACCTAAAATAACCGAAATGATTCTATATTTAACTCTTTGATCTTATCAATTAGTTATCAACTCCTCAGTTAAAAGTCTCTTTGTACCCTCGTTTCCACCAACAGTGTTCACAGCTGGGAAGACTTGATGCATACCTATCTTAGTAGCGTGTCCAGGTTAGAATAATGTTCTTTTTGGGTTTCATAAACTTGGGGAACACTCCTGTTGATGGAAAATGAGCTTTCTGTATAATGCTGTTCAACAGCAACCAGCAGGTGGCGAAAACTGGCAATAAACAGCTTTTTCTTTGCAGCCTGGAGAACCAAGAAGGAAAACACAGGCCTCTCAGACCCTTGATAGGCTCTCCATCCCCTGCATGTTCTGTGCTGGGCCTGGTGTAGAGTCCGCCCAAGGTCAGCCACTGGCTCTTAGGACGGTCTTGGGCAGTGAAGTCCACAGGAATACACTGGAGGGTTGCTGGGGAAGCAGGAGGCACAGATCCGGGATTCAGATCCAGGACTCCTGACCCAGGTCAGTACTCTGCACAACCTCCTCATCAGCCAAAGACAGAGTTAACGTCACAAGGTCAGACCACCAGGGAGTGCCTGCCCTTAAGCTTTCAAGTGCACTCTAATAACCCTGGACTCGGAGCAGAGGGATGATTTAGGTCTTTCAGCGTTCCAGAACATTCCAAGGGAACAGATGTCCAACAAAGTGCAGCACACAGACCTGTCCTGAGCTCAGTCATGGCCCAAGGCCACCTGAAAATCCTTTTTAAAAGGCTCTGTGGAAGTAAAGCAGGAGGCACGTCGGGGAGCTCTTCTTTCCTTGGGAACAGGGCTCCCTCTGCGGAAGTACAGTTTCTTTTCCAGGTCTGTCCGCTAGTTCCTCACTCACTTGTGGGTATTAAAAGCACAAAAGCCCTCAACTCCCCGCAGTGATTTGGGGGGTTTAAGACAAGCTTCCAGGAAGGTTCCTAAACCAGCGCGTTGTGGGCTGTGCCTGCATTTCTACTATCCCTATGAGCAGTCACCCAGGTCAGTCTGCCCATGGCCTGCTGAATAAAGGGGCCTCTGCCTCATCTGTCAGAAGAGAGGGAGAAGAATTCTTCCCTTTGTACCTTCTCGCCTGGATCCGGAGAGGTTGGCACACTGGCTGACCGATGTAAAAAAAAAAAAAGTGCAAATAACCTAGCATGCTTTATTCACTTAAGAATAGAAGCTTTGACTTTAGGGTCGCAATGAGACAGAATAAAGATGAGCTCAGGACACCCGGCATGCGGCCTGCGCCCTCGGTAACCCAGCGTCCCTGTGCGCTCGCACCGGGGCTCCGCTGAGCACGCGGCTTTGCTTGCAGTCAGTAGTTTTGCTGGCCCGGTGCTTTATTTGTCAAAGCTTCGCAGATTAAAATGGTTACGCACGTGCAACAACGCGTGTGTCCCCTCGCCCTTCTCTCCCGGGGGCTCTCCACGAGGACGCATTTGTAAACGTGTCTGCTTGTCCATGCGCGCGCGCGCGCGGCCGTCGCCCGTCAGGTGCTGCCCTGAATGGCAAAGGTGCAGAGAAAGCCCTGCACGCCGCCCCGCGCCCGGTGCTAACGCAGAGCGAAAAGTGCTCCGGGGAGAGGGCACCCCACCCCCCTCCCGGCCCGTTCAGGTGGCGTCCGGCCTTGGCCTCCGAGCCGGAGTCCAGCCGGTGACCGGCTGCCGTGCGTGAGCGCCTAAGCCCTGCATGGACGCCCGGGAGGCGAGAGGGAAGTAAACACGACTTTCTCAGGGTGGTCTCACGGCTGGGGGTCGGCGAGGGCCGCGGGCTCCCCATGGCGCTGACCGGCGCGCGATGTGCGTGGCCCCGCACCCTCTCCACACACACACACGCCCGGCCCGGAAGGTCCACGCGGCTGCCGGCGCCTCTGCAGCCCTTGTTTTCATGGCGTAGCTCCGGCCCGGCCCGGCCGCGTGCGGCCAGCCCGGCGCCCGTGGCCCACCGGCGGGCCCCGTCTTGGGGACCAATGAGGAAGTGGGAGCCCGCCGCAGGCCCGGGGAGGCCCCTGGCACACCTACCGCGCCGCGGCCGCGCCACCCACCGGTCGGGCCCCGGGGGCGGCCGGCCCGGGCGCGCCCTCCCCAGCCGCGGCCCCGCGCGCCATGTGTGCCCGGCGGGCCCCGGCCGGCCGCGGCGCCTTTAACCGGGGAAGGGGAGCGGGGCGGAGGGGGGGGCCGTCGGGCGGCTCAGAGGAGGGCTCTTTCTTTCTTCTTTTTTTGAATGAACAGTGACGTACGTACAGGAAACCAGTCGGTTTGTGAGGAGAATGAAGTCAGCGGCCAGGCCCCCGCCCGCCCCCTTCCTCCCCGCCCCCGCCCCTCCTCCGCGCGCCGCGCGCCCGCCCGCCGGCCCGCCCGCCCGCCGCTCCCGGGGTCCCCGCCGCGCCGCCGCCGCCGCCCGCGAAGGTGCCCGGGCGCCGGGCCCCCCGCCAGCGGCCGTCAGAGCGCGGAGCTGCCGCACGGCGCGACCGGAGGAGGCGGCGGCCGCCGCCGCCAGCGCCCCGGCGCGGGAGCGGGCGGAGCAGAAAGGGTGCGCAGCCCGGAGGCGGGTGCGCCGGCGGGTGCAGCGGAAGAGGGGTCCAGGGGGGCGAACTTCGTAGCAGTCATCCTTTTTAGGAAAAAGAGGGAAAAAAAAAAATAAAACCCTCCCCCGCTCCCCACCCTGGCCGCACCACACACGGCGCGGGCTCCTCGCGAGGCCGGCGCGTCCTGCCTTCATTGATCCGCAGCTTTTCGGAAAACGCGTCGGCTGCTCTCGGAGTTGAATCAGAAGAGGACCCCGCGCCGGCCGGGCCCCGTCGGCGCCCGGGGCAGAGTCCGCGCCGTGCCCGCGCGGCGCGCGCGCCTGTCAGTGGCCGAGGGGAGCCCGGACGGAGCGCGCTCCGGGGCTCGGGGCCGGATTCCTGCGGATTGACGTTTCTGAGGAGCAGAAACCCGGGGGCCAGCCTGGAGACCCCCCCGCCCCGGGGTGCCTACACCCGCGCCCGCCGCCTCCCGATTCATTCGGAAGTTTCCAAGCGGCTCTCACCCGGGAGCTCCGAAGATTGATGGGATCCTTGCCTTATGCGTTTGTTTTGGTTTTGCAGAGAAGGAAACTGGACAGAGGGTCATGCTGTCCTTTAAAAACACAAGTAAGTTCTTTGCGCAGCAGATCGGGCTCGCGTAACTTTCGGTGGCGGCACTCGAGATGCTAACTCTGAGTGCCTTCGAGTAAATGTGAATTTTCAGGCAGTTGAATGCGTTGTTTTTAGCCGTGTGGCCCGCAGCGTGCATGCCCCCGCTTTCTCTCCGTGTGTGCCGGAGAACGCACCTGAGTTTGGCTTAACCAGGTTTTGTTTTTGTTTGTTTGCCTTTTTTTTTTTTCCAACCTTCTAGCATCACGTAGGGAAAAGACTGGCGTTCACCACGCTTATGAATGATAACGTGCCTCGTGAAACAGAGATCCGAAAGGGATTTGAGTAAAAATCTCCTGCGCCTGCTGCCAACGGGGAAACACCAGAAGCGAGGGCTCCGCGTGACTGAAGACACCCCCGCGCCCGAGGATGCGGCGCGCGCCCGGGAACCCCGCCGGCTTCTGAGCGGGCCCGTGCGGCGGGACGGGGCCGGAGGCACCGCGGGCGCCCAAGGGCAGCATGGCGCACGCCGGGCGAACAGGGTACGACAACCGGGAGATCGTGATGAAGTACATCCACTATAAGCTGTCCCAGAGGGGCTACGAGTGGGACGCTGGGGACGCGGGCGCCGCCTCCGCGCCGGGCGTCTTCTCCTCCCAGCCCGCGCCCGCTGCGCCCCGGGACCCGGCCGCCAGGACCTCGCCGCCGCCGCCGCCGGCCGCCGCGGGGCCCGCGCTCAGCCCGGTGCCACCTGTGGTCCACCTGACCCTCCGCCAGGCGGGCGACGACTTCTCCCGGCGCTACCGCCGCGACTTCGCGGAGATGTCCAGCCAGCTGCACCTGACGCCCTTCACCGCGAGGGGGCGCTTTGCCACGGTGGTGGAGGAGCTCTTCAGGGATGGGGTGAACTGGGGGAGGATTGTGGCCTTCTTTGAGTTCGGTGGGGTCATGTGTGTGGAGAGCGTCAACCGGGAGATGTCGCCCCTGGTGGACAACATCGCCCTGTGGATGACTGAGTACCTGAACCGGCACCTGCACACCTGGATCCAGGATAATGGAGGCTGGGTAGGTGCCTGTCTGGTTGCACGTGAGTCTGGGCTTGCGGTCGCAGGTCCGAGATGCCGTGGCGAGGGTGTGGGTGGACCCCGGGGGCCGGGGCAGACTGCAGAGCCCGTGAGCTAACAGCAGGTGTGTCACTTTCCCTGCTTTCCCTCCCGCGCGCCCTGCAGGAAGCGCACCCTGCCCTCCCAGCTAGGGCAACTGCTTCCCGCCAAAAGTGGTGTGCCAGCCCTGGAGGCTCCCAGATGCTGCCTTTGCGGCCCAGTAGGATTTTGTGATGCCTGGTCCTGCCTTCCCGTGCTTCTCAAACTGGGGCTGCGGAGTCCCCAGCACCACAGTTACGTGGCCTGGGTAGTTGAAATCGCAGGTTTCAGGGACTTGGTGTGGACCAGACACCCCGCACATCCCACGACCACCACCACCCCAGGGCGAGGCCCTGGCAGTCTGCATCCTAAACAGGCACCCCTGGTGGATTTGTCTTTGTCCTAAAAGTTGTAAGCCACCCCATTGAAGAACAGACTCCCCCAGAGGACCAAGAACATGTTTGCCTCACTGGGTAAAAACTGCCCCAGAGGAAGCCCAGTGTAACCCCTTTCCCTGAAGGTCTTAGCTGTGTTTGTGAAGAGGTAAGTGGACGCAGGGAGAGCCGGGGGAGTGTTCACCTGCTGGTCGGGCCGTGACCCAGTGGACACGATGGTGTGCGTTGAAGGGCAGCAGTCTGTGGATGCGCTGCGTCCTCTTGTCAGTGATGGGGTTTGGATTGGCTGCAGACTTTGTGTGCTGTCCCTTGTGTCGCATTTAGAAGTTTCCTGGAGTTTTACCATCTCTTACATTTTACCACCTAGACGCCACATGATTTTGTGGTCTCTGCTTACACACACCACACACACTCACAGAGAAACTTGCACCTAGGGAAACTATGTAAAGCGTAGAAGAATTGATCTTTAGCTGTGGATTCTTTCATGCGCTGACCAGGGTTGAAGTGATGAGCAGCTGTGACTTTTAAGAACCTTGGTAAGACGCTTTTTCTCCCGCTCCGGGGCGGTTGCTAGATAGAGCTTCGATCCTGTTCACCACGCAGTTGTATTTTTCCATGATGCTCTGGGACTGGGGTGCGGATCCCAAGACTCAACGGTGCTTAATTAAGATTTCCATCTCTTACCTAAAAGGATTAATTTATGAGAAAGTAATCATTCTTGTCTGGAGTTTTGTTAAACTTTGTTTTTAGTCTGAAGAGTTATCTTGGAAGAAGGATGCATTTCTGTGAGCTCTTCTATAGTCTCTTAGGAGAATGGCTCACATTATAGAACCTAATGGGATCCAAAAGCCTAGACGTGACTGCAAGAAGCACATTTCTTCATTTTTGCTCCATTTTTCAAAGTATGCTAATATTAAGGGGCCAAAAAGAGACGGGGCCAAGAAATGTAGGTGATTGATGTGAACATCTGATATTATTTGACCAAAGTTGACAAAATATTGATGCCACTGTTCAATGTTTGAAAGTAAAATTAACTAAAATATCCCAATTTAAATCTCTAAAATTTAATGACTCTTTATGGATTGTTTGTTGAAATCCCACATTATCAGGTCTTTAGTGATTCTGGAGTAATTTGCTAAAGGATGAAAAGAATATTTTTGTTAAGTGTTTAGTTAAGCAGCTGGTTTGATTTTTAATCACCATAACCAAAGAGGAAGGGACTTGTAGACTCCGCAAGGATCATTCTAAAACCAAAGTAAAACTGATTTAATAGGTCTCCTGGTTCCTATTTTTCATAAAAAAAAAAAGAAATCCATATTAAAAAAAAAGTTCTGTCTAGTTGAAAGAAATCCATGGTGGAAACCGCCATGTATCAAGCAAGTTAATAAAGTGGTAGGAAACAGACACATGTTTATGATGGAGATTAAGATAGAACCTTGATGTTTGTTGTTGAGCTGCAGTATGTTAATGTCTCATACAACTGAGGTTTCCTTTTAAATGAGGGCTCACTTTTTCTTCCTTTCACAATAGAGTTTTCGTTGTAGAGCCTATCTTTGTGGTCAACAGGTATCTGAGGTCGATAAATGCACAAGCTACATTTTATGATGCCAAACCACAATGACATTCTGTAGCACATGATAAAAATTTTTTGACAAAACCTCTTACAGTAAAAATAAATCATATAGAAGCACAAATGGCTGATGGTAAAATGTGTAATAGTTTTCAGAGCAACACGTAGATGGATGACTACAGGAAAACAAAGGAATTTGGCAACAAAAAAGAGTATAAATCAGGAAATGCAAACATATGTGGATACTCTGGAATAATAAAAGTGGTAGTATTTGAGAGTTATACATGATTTGCCTATCATTTCAAATGTGTATTATTAATCTAAATTTTTATTTTAAACATTTGGCTTTCAGAAAGACAGGTTTTCCTTACAGTTCACAAAGTCAGGGTTGCATCTCAGACTGTAAAGAAGTCTTAGTGACAATGGTAAAGTTTCACAGAACTAACTTATTTTCTTGACCTGCAGAAATGATTGGCACTGTTGCCAGGGGTCAGTGGATCAGTCAGCCCAACTGCTAAATACCGCACCCAACACTCCAGGCTTCAGACTTGGAGCCACTTTTTCTTCTTTGCTGCTGCAAAATCAGAACCTTCTAAGGCTGGGGGAAACGTCTGCATTCTGTGTTTCGTGACACGGAGAAAGCAGGTCCTTGGAATGTTCAGCCTCTGAGAGATGATCCCAGAAGCTCACAAATTACGTGAAGACTAAAGAAGTAATTGGGTGTGGAGTGGAGTGTGGCTTTATTCCTAAGTCTGAATAAGGCATTGTGTGGCATCCAGAGAAAGGCAGAGGGAGCAGTAGCAGAACAGCAGTTCCAGAAAATGTCTAAGACTTGCTGCTCCAGTGTGGCTCTCAGGCCAGCGGCAGGGGCATCCCCCACAGCTTCCTAGGAAGGCAAAATCTCAGGTTCCAGCCACTGCTGCTGAGCTGGGATCTTTGGCTTGGGTGCCCAGTAAAGCTAGAGATGGGGCTGCCATGATTCCCAGAGGTATCTTTTAGGATGAGTCACTTCCTAGGAGGGATTCTGCAGTGTCCCTTTCCAGGGGCCTCAGGTCCGTGCTGTCACCTGGAATACTGAATATTTCCCTGTTGTCCACTAGAGTGATCCCATCCCAGGAAAAACGAGAATGCAAGGAAGAAGAGGTAGGAGGTTATGTGCTGAAAGCCCAGTGTTTTTCATGGGAGTTACACAATGTGTGTTGGCAGCACCCGTCCCATTGCAGTAAGATGGCTTTTTGAGCTCTGTTGGTTATTATTTAACCCCCTCCTAACACATCTTACATTCCGTAAATGAGTTCGGTGATCTTGTGCCTGCCTTGAGACAGAGGGACTCTTGGCAAGAGAAGGGTTGGGATACGGGCAAGGTGATAGTGAGTGTGAACTGTTGTCACCCTCCAGTCTGGGGAATGTGGTGGCATCCAGCTTCACTCTGAGGAGGGAGTGAGACACAAGCTCCTAGGAGAGTGAGATGGCTCAAGCAAGACACTGAAGGAGGTGGTTTGGCTCCAACCCCTTGAGGGGATGATGGTCCAACTCTTTCTTTTGCTGTTGGTAGTTTAGGACAATGGATGCTTCTGCAGACCCAGCAGAGCTCAGCTCCCCCTTTGTTAGTCAGCAAGCAGTTTTGTCTTTCTTAAGTGTTATCCACATGCAGCTGAACATTGGATTCACTGGAAAGCGATACGTTTCTCATGCCAGTGACGAATTGCTTGAAAGAAAATAATTTTCCTAGTGGCCGAGTATCAACTACTTATGGCCAATTTTGGCAGCAAAATGATGGGATTAAAAATAGCCTGAAGATGATCCAGTCTTAAATAATATATTGAATGATGAACTTTCCTTGGGAAAGTGCATCTTTCTGCCTGCTAAGAATCTCGTGACCCCTTTCAATAATTTATTTTGTAGAAAAAAAATACAATATTGCTCCTAGAGTTTTCAGTCATGTGCTGTTGAGTGATTATATTTCTGGATCTTCACAAAATTTTGCAGTTCACTCAGTTCTCTTTTCTGTTGAGGGCCTTTGTTGGTATTTGGTGTCTGTGAACAGCTTTGTTTTGGGCATCCTATTTCTTTTAGTTGAGCTTTCTAGTGAGGACTGATTGCTCCTTTTAGTAATCCTTGATTGAACCAGTACCTTTCAGGTTGCTTAAATGTCTTTAGGCCACAGAGCAAACCAGGTAACAGAAGGCAACCGATTAAAACAAAGCAAGCCAAATTCATACAGCTTTTTCATATCTGTTCTTAAGAGTCCTAGTCCTGCTTTTAAAGGGAGGATAAACCCACTCATGAGGCGAGTGTGTGTGAGCAGTGGCATCTCCCCTGTGACACACCTGTTTCTGAGGGTCTTCCTCGTGTCTTAGCAGGAGTTGAGCAAAGCAGGAGTTCAGTAGAAGTGCATTTGTGTTGGGAAACAACACCGTCTTTGTAGTGTACAAGAAGAAAGTTTTCTTTTTCCCCCTGAGATATACTGTCTGTGAGGTTCAAAGGTTCTGTTAAGCTTTTCTAAGGTAATCTAATAGCACCGGATTCAGGTATAGCAGTAACCTCTCAGTCTGGTCACTCTTTCCCCTACTACATCGAGGAGACCGCTCAGGGACTTTACCTCACTGCTGGGTTTCTCTTTCATTCCCCATGTTTGGTTTGGTTCAAACAACGTGGTGCTTGAAGTCTAAGAGGGGTTAAGGGTGGAAGTTTTCCAAGGCCTGGGACAGTGACTCCACAGCCGTCTTGGGATGTCCAGCTCTGGCTTAGGTTGGGGGCACCAGAAGCAGAGCTTTGCCCCTGTGAGGAAGAGCTCATGGGTTGGTGTTGGAGGGGCCTTAATGAACCCATACAGCCCCATGAGCGTGATCCCAGGCTCTTAGACAAAAAAAAAAAAAAAAAAAAATAGAACTAAGTACATATTGTCTTACATCCATTTCAGTCTTTGTCTAAAAAAAGTTATTTCTAACCATCTGG